GATATATATATATATATATAGGTATCAGTTTTCCTATCGGATTGTTCTCGTTGTTAAGTGTTTAACTGAGTTCACATGAATTAACTACATCACTTATATAAAAATAAAATTTGAGCACTGTGATTAAGTATAACTGCATAATACATTAGTTGTTGTTTGATATAACACACAATGATATATTAATTAAATAATCCTGTATCACCATGTGCTATATAAAATAAAATTCATTCCGTCAAGGAATATTCCAGATCAAACTAAAAACTTTCAAGGAAACAGGAGCTGCAGATAGACCACAAGCCAAGTTCAACACTCAAAAACTGAAGGACTAAGATACAAAGGACATCTTCACTGCAAGCATAAGGGAAAAAGCCGAGACACAAATCAACACCAGCGAAGAGGTCAGTGTCGAAAAGCACTGGGACAACCTGAAAGCGGTGTGGAGTCAAACCTGCATGGAAGTTTTAGGCAGAAAGAAGGGACAGGACAAACAGTGGCTCACTACGGACACTTGGAGACTAATAGAAGAAAGAAGGATGGTGAAACAAAAGATTATCCAGTGCACTGACGAGCAACAAAAACAGGAGCTGAATGCAAGCTACAATACACTGAACAAAAGAGTGAAGGAGAGTGCCAGGGAAGACGAGAAAATATTATGAAACCATGGCAAACGAAGCAGAACAAGCTGCAGGCAAAGGCGATCTCGCCACACTCTACCAAACAACTAGGCACCTATCGGGCAAAAGTTCGACACAAATCAAGCCAGTGAAAGATGTCAGTGGAAAGCCAATGAAGTGGAGCAAAGGAAACACTGGGCTGAACGCTTCAAAAGACTTCTAAATCGACCGCCACCTACAACGCGCCCAATAATACCAACAAAGGAAGCAGAACTACCAGTGAACATCAACCCCCCGACGAGAACAGAAGTCCCGAAGGCAATCAAGATGCTAAAAACTGGAAAAGTAGCAGGACCAGATGGAATCCCAGCAGAGGCATTGAAAATGAACCCAGAGGCATCAGCAAACTTGTTGACACCACTACTGGAGAAGGTGTGGAAAGAGAGCAAGGTACCCGAGGATTGGAAGAAGGCCTACTTATTCAAATTGTCAAAGTAAGGAGACTTAAGCCAATGCAAGAATACACGCGTCATTGTGCTCCTGTTTATCTCAAGCAAAATACTAAATCTCATCATTCTGGAGAAAGACAAAGACGCCCCCCTTGATGTATAACTTCGTTCGGGACAGACTGGATTCAGGAGGAACAAGTCATGCATTGATCAAGTCGCAACACTACGGATCATCATTGAACAGAGCTTGGAATGGCAGTCAGCTCTCTATCTCAACTTCACTGACTTTGAAAAGGTCTTCGATAGCGCAGCGTCTATCGAGAGGCGATTTGGAAACTACTACTACTGGGTGCCGCCAACAATTATAATGCTTCAGGCCAAGTAATCCACAACGGGAAACTCACGGAATCCTTCGAAATGAAGACGGGAGTAAGACAAGCTGGCTGCCTACTATCTGCAGTGATTTTCATGATTGTGGTAGACTAGATAATGCGACAGAAACACAGCGGGTAGCGAGGAAACAGCCATGAAATGGACCCACACAAAAATCTTGGAGAATCTGGACTTCGCCGATGATATGTGTCTGATATCCCACAAACTGGAAGATATGCAAATGAAAAGCAACAAGTTGCAAGAAGAAGCATCCAGAGAAGATAGGACTTCAAGTGAACATAGAGAAAATAGAGGTAGTGAAGATTTCTGGCCAAAAGCGACAGCAACAACAACAGACAACAATCGGCCAGCAAATATAGGTGAAATCTGTGAGAAGCAACCTCCTTTCCCTACCGACATGGGAAGGCGGGACTGATGAGGATATCGTCAAAGCGAGGATCGGGAAAGCAAGGCAAACTTTCATTACTCTCAAGTCTGTGTGGAGGTCAAAAGCACTCGGCATGAGAAATAAGACCCGGATTTTCAACTCCAATGTGAAGTCAGTGCTACTATACAGATCAGAGACTTGGGGCGCCACGAAGACCACTTTGAACAAACTACCGACCTTCATCAACAGCTGCCTTCGCTCAAGATCAGATGGCCGACCAGAAAAGATCGTCAACAGGGACCTCTGGGAGCGAACTAACCGACCAGGAACCGATTGTGCAACAAATATGCTGGAACAAATGGAGGTGGATCGGCCGTACTCTGGTAAAACGAACTATCAAGTGACATCACACGCCAGGCCATTTCTCCAGTGGAATCCGAAAGTGAAGCGGTGAGTTGGTTGTCAGTGCGAGGGTGACATGGAGGAGGTCATAGGGAGAAGAGGTGAAAGCATGTGGGCAGACGTGGAGCCAGGTGAAAAAGTTGGCGGAGAAAGGAACTCATTGGAGACGTGCGGCCGAAGCCCTATTTTCCTCTAGGAACTAAAGGAAACATTGTAATAATAATCATAACAATAATAATAGTGGAATTATGTAGAGCACTTTTCAAGTAAAACCATAATAATTACCAGTAGATCATTGTAAATATATTTTTTGTCCAACCGAAATGTTAGTTACTGATGTGTATTAGTCCATACTTCTTACGTTTTTATTGCAAGCATTTTTTTCTTCTCATTTAAATGTCAGCTATCCGGATCAAATTTTTCATATACCAGACTACAAGCCACATGTATTTTGGGTGGGCTGATAAGACTACCCAAACAGGAACTCTATTGGCTGAAACTTGACCGTTTAAGCTGATGGGTCACATCTCCGTTATAATGTTTGGTTAGAGTAGATTACATTTACTAACATCACAAGCATAATCCAATGTGTTTGTGCATCACGCCTGAAATCGTTTTTATGAGATATCGACTGCACACCCCACCGTTAAATAAACTAGAATTATACATCGTTGAAAGAACATTCCAGTAGAATATAAAAGTATACGACTGGATATTACCGTCTTTGGAGAATTTAAGTTTTTTGCCGAGAAAGAACCGTTAAAACCTTTCCTAAAATTGGATATCATGTATCTGTTAGTTTTAATTAATCAAAATTAGCTCAGACTAATATCTGTATGGATTTCGTGAGGTTATATGACTCACTGGTAAAGTATTATCAGATAGAAGTGACAGTTCAAATCAATTGTGAACATTGTTCACTTTTTTTGATTGTTTGCAATACGAAAGGTAATGTGAAGAAATGAATACACATAAGTATGGTATTTTTATTTTCTTAATATACTTGTCTGATTATTTTGTTGTGGTTCATCTCTCGGTGTCTATACAACACCAATTTCGTGTTTAAAATAAATATGTATTGAAAAGACTCAAATCTTAGTTTCAGCAAAGTTATTTTCTCTAGAATTTATACGAACTCTGTACGATAATTTGTGCATCATAATTTCTATTCAGTTTTAGACAATTTCATTGTTGTTTTTTTGCTTTAAAAATAGTGATGAATATCACTCATGCTCATTATTATTTTACTCACCGTCCACCGACACGCTGTCCCTCGTTTATCCATTCTTTTTCTCATATTACCATTATTATTATTATTATTATTATTATTATTATTATTATTATTATTATTATTACTGTTATTGTTATTATTAGATATCAAGCAGAATATAAACAGATCTTTTGGAATTTCGTCAATCTGTGTTTCCGCCTACAAATATCGATTTCCCTAATCGTAATGATGATGATGATGATGATAGTATTAGTAGGCAGTAGCCGATGAAAGGAGAAAAGATTTGATTAGGGAATATGTTTGCGAAAAAAGAGAAATGCTCATTACTATGACGACAAAAGGCGACAAACAATATGAATCGTTTTTAGCATCATTCATCAAGTCAAATAATAAGTAAAGGAAATGAAACCAATGGAAAAAGAATTTATCAGTGGCTTTATTGATGTTTATTGGTATTGAATAGTGTTCAGTTGACACTCGATAAAAAAAGACATTGAATGTATTGTTAATCACCATCATTGTATTTCGATTTCATAGTACAAAATGGTGTTTACTCTTAAACAAAGTGACACTTTCTAAACAATTAACTGATTTCTAAGTAGCAGTCACCTTTGTTCTAATATTTTTGAATGTTCTTTTTTTCATGGTTGATTCTAGGAAGTTAATTTATTGGAAAGCAGCTCTAAATAATTATCTGACATTTATAATATCACTAAAAACGGGAGAGTATGAGCTAAAGTATTCGGTCCCCCCTCTTGGATTCTATGTATGCGAATTCCGCAATAGCATGTAGTATTGTTGTTGTCTACTCAAAAACTAATTCGCAATCAGTGTTTTACAAAACTTTACAGAATTCGTGTCCATTAAATCTGTACACTATAGAGATCAGTTTAGAATATAGTATTTTCAGACTGCAAGTGAACGTCTCTCTAGCATCATTTAGTTTCCAGCAGTTTTTCTGTAGTTTAGGATTTCCAGTCTACAGACTTTACATTTAGACAGGGCAGTAACATAAGTGACAGTATGCCATTGAAAATCACACATTTGAACAATTAATTGTTACACTTTAAAGCACAGTTTTTATCACTTTAAAAAAAAGTTCAGTGAAACAATTGACGTTTACTATTTGATGATATTAGATGGTTCGATGTAATCGGCAGGAAGCCTTAGATCTAGGTTTCGTGCTAGTTAGCACTCGTCAGCAAGGTGTACCTGCAACCTTGAAGGAACTCATGTCCATCCCTTCTGTGATTCGAACCTGCGTCACCCATTGCTGCAGTCAGAGATGTTTACCTCTGAGCTATTCGGACTCGCGATTGACCTCCTGTTTACTGTGACGTTTACTATATCAACAACTGATACTTCTCTACTTCGTGAAACTTTCTAGTGATAAGTTGTCAAAATAATTAATTTGGATAAATTAAATTTCATCTAAATAAGCATTTACACTTGAATAAATGTCATTCATGGTATTGATGAGTGTATTTTCTACTTAACTCTAATTAACACTTAGACTTGTTTTTTGTATATGTTTGTGAATTTAGAAGGAAGCCTTCCATGTCCGTTCGTCGAATCCTCAGCTAATCGACGTGCCTGGCTAACCTGTCTAGAGTTCTCTCATACACATACATTGGGTGTATCGAGTTTGGATGAACATGATGCCAGATACGATTCAGTTGGATCTACTGTGGATGAAGACGAAGACCAATTATGGTCTAGAGTACATTCACGTCTAGTCCAATCACCTAGACTAACGGAACTTGTAAGAGGACAGGCTGTAGATGTAGAAGCTCTCGTTAAACCTGGTGAACAACTTGGTATTCCACACTCTCTCCGACCTCATATATGGCCTAGACTAACTGGAGCCTTACTGAAAGCAAAAGAGTCCAAACAACGAGTCCCATCTGTAACATATACAGAATTAGTACAACTCAGCTCAACAGATACGCTTTTGGCAGGAATTCAAATTGAAAAGGTTAGTAATTCCTTTTTGTTACCTCACGTCGTCATACTTAAGAGTAAAAACTTACTACCCCAAAAATAATCTACAACATATTAACTAGATTCCAGTAGGACTAAACAGTAAAGTGTCTAAAGTAAAAGATACTGGAGCATATCGTTTTTAAGTCTCATTTACATCATGAAACTATGCGTCCTCTGATTACATGATTTATTTCTGTCAAAAATACAGTTGTCAGTGTACTGTTTGTCCAGGAATTTAATTTGATTTGCAGATAACTTACATTTTCAGCGATTTTCAAGTTATGTTCCCTATAGCCTTCATACACTGTGTGGAGTTGAATTAGCAAGGTCAGAATAGAAGATGTTTAGATTATTTCAATGCATCTTCGTCGACTAGTGTTGCAGGTCTTCAAAACACAAGAAAGAAAATATTTGATAAACATGTTCTCTTAAATTTATGTATGTTTTATGTTGGCATTGCAGCTACACGGTTGAAATCATAATATGAGCAGGCCGTATAGCAACAATTCGTTTTGAAGTCTTTGTAGAGTAAAGTATTCAGCTTACATTTATGCCATTTATTCGTCGGTAATGTTTAGCGGAATCGAACATACAAATTAGACGGATTACTTTGATAAGATAGATATATAGTCATTGTCCTCGAGCAGGACATTGTAATGTTGCGGTAATATGATAATTATGTGTACAAGTTTCTCAGCACACCGTTCACGAGAAACAAAAGGAATATCAACAGACCATTCATCGCTATTCCTTAGACAATATTACCTAATGACCTTAGTCAGCATAACAAAACAGTGGAAATATTTCCACTGGAAATTTACATTTCTAACAGTTAAACTTCTGTGTAGTTAACTTAAATGTCTAAAAAAATGTTTATTCATTCTTGCATATTAGCATATTTTTAAAACTTAAGCCTACCAACTGAAGCGTAAATCCTTAGCGTCACTTATATTTTGCATTAATCTGAACGTAATAATGATTTGCCGAATAACTACTGTGTTAAATGAATGCTTCAAATAGCTTTTTTGTTTGGGTTAAACACTGGCGGAAGAAAAATTATTCATCAGAGCAAGAAAAAAAAATAACAACTATAAATATAATTTACAAATACCTTATGATCGTCTAAATTTTGTGAATACATAGTCGCTTGCAAGCCCTATTCAGTGAAACGATTTCTTCAGCTGGCTAGAAATACTTCAAAGAAATAAATGCAGAAAAAGCCATAAATATAATAGTTATAGTCAGCAAATGTACTGTTTATCAGTACACTGGTAACACTGAAGTAATCACTATTTGTACAAGCCGGTAACAAGACCAGTAACGAGGGAAGGTTGGGCATGTGGCTAGCAACCCCATCCCGTAAAAATAAACACCACGGCTACCGAAACTTCAAAGCTCTAGCTTATAGCCTTATTTTCCATTGGGATAGTAAAGGAATAAAATAAATATAAAAGATAATAATAGTTTCTACAAAGCCAGAACGATAATATTTGCACGATAAATAGAGCTCATTTTTAATTCACAACTTGTCTTCAGTTGCCAACAGCCTGAAAATGACATAATTTATTATAGATGTAAATATATAACATACTTCAAAATTATTTCAATTCACATGACATTTAATAATTCCTAGCACATTAATTGAACAAGAGATATGAATGAATAAAAGGTAGTTTATAATCGGAAGGCCAGGGTTTATATATGCTATGGAAAGTTAGAGATAAGTGAGTGAGAGTGAAAGCACACAGTTAATACACAAAGGTTAGTTTGAAATTGTTTGATAGAAATAACTTCAACAGGAGTGCTCTTCTTATCCAACAAATACATTCGTTTTTGCTTTGTTCAAAAGATGCAATTGCATTCGGTCAGGAGAATAGGGATTATCAAAGCACTGATTATTACTGCACCTGCTAACTATAACCATTTTTTTGGACAACCACATGAAAGTTGACTCCTATCCTTGAAGTGTACCCTACTTCTGTCTCCTCTTCTTTTTCTCTCTGTACAAGGATCTTTTCCGTACAATGCCGAATAATCTTTGTTTCCACTCTTCCAACTCCACTGGAATATCACGATTACGTCGAGTTTTACGTGCTTTAGCGTGGTTGTATGTAGATGTTGGTTATTGTCAAGGCATGGGATTGGTAAGTTTATGAACAGTTTTCAAATATTTCAATATCCTCATGCAATGATTCTGTCTTTTCCTCTTAGACCTTGTTTAGGAAATAGCAATTGCCGTGATCCTATTAATTTACGTACATCCTTTAGTTCGCTTTTTTATTTTCGTGATTTTCTCTACTCAGAAACATTTACTGTTAAATGAATGTATATATATATATCAGTTAAGTACACAACTTTTTATTGATTTCCCCTATTTTTTAGTTATCAGTTTTTTTCCTAACGAATTAATTTCTCCCCAACGAACAACACACACACTTTGCATCCTGTAAAGTGTTAATTGTTTTTCTATTTTCCATGTTTCATCCTGTGTTTTTCACATATTTTCGATTTTTGTATGAAACAGTTTTAATTGAAAAGAAAGAAATATGTGTAGTAACGCATCTTACACAAAGAAACTGTTTAACAGAAAAGTAGGCAATCATGTTGAGTATATGTAGAAGACAAATTGGGTCACTGATTAGATTAAATTAACGCTGACTGACAGGTCAACTCCCTAGCTCAGGTCACAAATGATAGGGATAATGACAGTGTAAATCCAGATCTCATAAAGAGATAAAATTCTCACTGAACTGTGTATTTATTTACATTTTAATAAAGACAGTTGGACCTAGTAATGTTCAATGAGACAACAAATACCTATTAGTGATATTAAAAAAGTTACTATTCACTGTGAATTGAAAGGATTTCAAAACTACGGAAGTTACAAGCTGAATGATTCAGAAATTCTAAAACAGGACTCACTGAATTGTTAATTCGATCAGTTAGACTGATAAATACACCTAAAGGAGATAGAATCAGGTAGTCTGCTTTTTTTCCATGCTTCAAGGAGTGGTCAGTTGGACTCTTTCTGAAGGACCCTTCATCTGGTCCAGTGTCAATGTCTAACTGTTGGTGTCACCAGTGAATTAAATTTTTTAGAAAGATAGGTTTATTCGCAACCGTTATTGGTCGAGATTTAACCTTAATGTTGTCTGTATATTCACTTATGAATTTCTCCGGGATAAAACTATTCCTGCTAACTGAGTTACAGATTGTGCTGAGTTCCGCTTCTATGACGTCATCAGAGTACAAGTTTTGCATGGTGAACCAATTACTGTGGTACTGAACTAAGGGAGTGATTGTGCTAACCAATCGTCATTGGCGTTCTCTACTCATTGAATTTCATTACTCCAAAATGATGTACAACGATGGCAAAATATGAAAAATTAACTTCGAAACTCTGATTTGCAAAATTTATTCGTATTCTTATTTTTCTGTCCTCATTTAGTGCTTTTATGTGTTGCTTCACGGTGTGTGCTTCATCTCTCGCCTTTGCAACTAAGTCTGTCAATCCACTGTTCAAGATTCTGCAAAAACACGTCACCAGTATACTACTTAAAAATTCCTGACAGTTACTTATGCCATACTCTCCCCCTCGTCCAAAATGCTCGCGCTCAGTCTCACTGACCTTGGTGTTGTATGTTCTCCTTATGTAGTGGTGCATACGTCTGTATCAATCTGTTAATTTGGTTGAAGTTATCACGTTTCTATTCGTGCCCCCTCCTCTTGTCGGTATAAAAAGGATTTTGTCTTTCGGTGGCTGTAACGTCACTTCATAGTCGAAGATTTCGTCAAATCAGCTCAGTCTACAAATGTGTACTTTCTTCGTATATACTTTGCCTCCGAGTCTAAAGATTATACATCTCTCCTTTCCTCTCTCCTCGAATTAAATAGCATCAACCTTCTTTATACCCCTTTTTATTTCTAAAAACTCTTGGGTCATCTTTCCATCTCATTATACTTAGTAGTTGCTGATGTAAACAGGTTTCATTCTTAATACGTACTCGTCTTTTCCTTCCAAACACTAAGTAACAACGTAGTTTCTCTCTCTTACTTCCGCAAGACCGCCATGTGTAGCTACCTCAGGCAACTTATGTCTTTCCAACCTTACTTCTATTTTTATACTTAGATTCCTATATTTCACCTATGCTAACCTTGACTTCTTAACCTTCAACAGCCTTTCGCCTTTGTCTGGATTCCTAGCCTATCTGTGTCGTTTCGAGATGTTAGTGAGTAATCCTCAAAATGGCTGTCCCCAATGTGACATCTAACACACATCCTGAAACCGCGTACCGCGTTCAAGCTGGCCACCTACAATGTTTGGACGCTGATGCAAATCGGACAACAGGCAGGGTTGGTAAGAACATTGGAAAGCCTCGCTATCGATGTCTGCTGAATTTTGGAGACCCGCATTCAAGATCCGAGTAAAGTGCTTCAATTACCCTTTCCATCTGGAAGTTTTAGTAGTATGTACCACCTGCGCTTGTCCGGAGACCCTGTGGCACCGGCATCTGGCGTAGCTGGTGTCGGTGTCGCACTAAGCGCTAGAGCCGAAGCTGCATTGCTCGACCGTATTCCCATTAACAGTCGTTTATGTGCTATGAGGCTGGAAAGTTATACAAAAGTAAAGAGTAGTAGGCCAGAATGGCGATGTCTATTTGTTGTCTTTGCCTATGCACCGACGGATTGCAACCCGGATGCAATGAAGGATGAGTTCTACCACCAACTGAGCGATCTCTTGAAACAGGCGGGTCGGAGGGATATCGTAGTGCTGGCTGAGGACTTGAATGCACAGGTCGGGCATCTAAGCTCAGAGGAGAATCGTCTGGGTGGTCAGTGGGGACTACATGGTCGCAGGTCAGATAGTGGGGACCGTCTTCTGCAGCTTTGCGTGGATCACAACCTATTTCTAGCCAGCACCAACTTTCGGTACAACCATCACCGTAGCGCTACCTGGCGTCCTCCCTCTGCGAATCAAGCTTTGACTTAGATTGATCATATTGCTGTCAGTTTACGGTGGCGAGGATGCATACAAGACTGTCGCTCCTTCTGGAGCACATGCCTGGACTCTGATCATGCGTTAGTGTGTGCCAAGTTCGTCTTGCGATTTGGTGGGGTTCATAAAAGGCGTCGTCTAAACGTTGATGTGAGCAAACTAGTAGCACCTGCTACTTCTTTGAAATACCAATCAATGCTTGCCAGCAACCCCCCAAGTAGTATAGATGAACATTGGCTTCATCTGCAAGGTGCCATGCAAAGGACGAGTGTAGCCGCTTGCGGCTTGAAAGAATGCTCCGCTAAAAACCACTGGGTTTCTGCGAGTTCCTTGCAACTCCGAAATGAACGCCGGTCCATTCCGGCTGGCGCTTACGCGCAAGATAAGACAGTGTTTACGTAAGGACCGCGAAGCCTGGTGGTCAGAACGTGCGATGGAGTCAGCTGCTGCATCTGGCAACAGTCGGAAGCTGTTCCAACTCATACGAGCCACCGGCAGCAAGAAACAAGGTGTCAGCGAGACGGTCTGTGAGGCAGATGGCATTCCAATTACCAGCCTGAAAAGACGCCTGGAACGCTGGGCAGAGCACTTCGGGAAGCAGTTCAGCTGGCCACCAGCTTCAGTGTCTACTATCATTAGCCCCAGTGCTCCTTGGTCGGTTAGTACCGACCCACCAACCGAAGCGGAGGTCCGTAAGGAACTCCAAGTTCTGAAACGCCATAAGGCACCCGGCCCAGACAAATTACCCCCGGCTCTTTTTAAAGATGGTGGCGAGACTCTCACAATGGCTCTAACTGGGTTGTTCAGGAAGGTGTGGGAGACAGAGAGTGTACCATCAATGTGGAACGAAGCCATTATCGTCCCCATCTTTAAAAAGGGTCGACGTAATTCGTGTGACAATCATAGGGGTATCAGTCTGTTACCAGTCGCGTCTAAAATATTGGCTGCTGTCTTGCTTCGCAGACTGTGCAAAATACGTGAAGGATTGATTCGCGAAGAGCAGGCTGGGTTTCGTTCAGGTCGTGGATGCATTGATCATGTGTTCACCCTTCGTCAGTTGTTGGAACACCGCCACACGTATTGCAGGCCAACGATCGTTGTGTTTCTTGATATTAGGGCTGCCTTCGATTCGTTGGACAGAACTGTGCTCTGGAACTGTCTGTTAGAGAGAGGTGTACCTGAGAAATTTGTTAACATCTTGAAAGCCCTATACAGAAACACCTCAGGTAGAGTGAGGGCATACAACCAACTATCATCACTGTTCCCAACCAACAGTGGGGTTAGACAGGGTTGCCCAATCTCTCCATTTCTCTTTAACTTTGCCATCGATGACATTCTGGAGTCAGCTCTGAAGGATGTGCGTGAAAGTGGTGTAGATCTGCTCCCTGGAGATAGACTTTTCGACCTCGAGTATGCAGACGATATCGTCTTACTGTGCGATAGCATGCAGGCTGCCCAAATCGCACTTAATCAGTTGGTGATCAGTGTCTGTAAGTATGGTATGTGCTTTGCGCCGTCTAAGTGCCAAGTACTGTTACAAGATTGGCAGGAGCCCGTACCTGCACTCACTCTTGCAGGTGAACCGCTTGAAGTTGTTGATAAATTTGTGTTTCTGGGTAGTTGTGTGAGTGCTGACGGAGGGGTGAGATTTCCAACCGTATAATGAAGGCTAGGGTGGCATACATCAACTTGAGCCACCTCTGGCTCCGTCGCGACGTTAGCCTGGCTGTCAAAGGTCGGGTATACAATGCTTCAGTGCGGACTGTCTTGCTCTACGTCTGTGAAACCTGGCCTCTCCGAGTGGGCTGAGGATGTGCGGCGGCTCTGTGTGCTCGATCATCGCTGTCTCCGCACGATTGCTTGCGTTCGATGGCATCATCGCGTGAATAATTCTGAGGTTCGGCGGCGTGTGTTTGGACATAGTGGAGATCACCATTCATCATCTGAAAACACCGGCTCCGGTGGCTTGGACATGTGCTGTGAATGTCATCCCAGGGGCTTCCGTACAGGTCTCTGTTCGCTAGCCCTGGGACGGGATGGAAAAGGCAGAGAGGTGGTTAGTCCATAACGTGGCATCGTGGGATGAAGGATTTTTATGCTAGATCAGCATCGATTGGTGCGTCACAACTCCCTGGTTGTGGTCCGCAAGATAGCTCGAAACGTTATCGGTTATGGCCAAGAATCGTAATCAACGGCGAACGTGTTGCAATTTCCTTCTCTTTTCCCTTTCCGACTATAATTGACTTATGATGTTTGAACTTGTTATATATGACTGTTTTCCTTTCAAATGAACTTCTTTATCCGTTTTCCACTTATATTCTTACTTTTAATCTATGTTGTTTTATTATTATTGTGTGGCGCATCTTTCTTGGTGCCATATTGTACCAAGTTTTTTTTTTCTGCGTTAAAATAAATAATAAATAAAAGAATGCGCTACTAAAATCACCATAAAATCTGAATACTAAGAGTTATGTTTTCAGGATGGTAGCTGATGGTTTCCTTTCCTTAATATCAATCACCTTCTCTTAAGAAGTCTGCTCCCAATATTGTTCGTTGTATATCGGATGTCACAACAGAGAGATAGCGTATTATGCATGCTGATATCTCTACAATACGGTATGAAACACAAAGAAGCTGTGTGTCGCATCTAGCCAGAGTCTAGACTGACAATGTGTCAGCCTTTATTCGCTTACACCGTTCTTTATCTATGGGTGTAATAACTGGCCCTATATCAATCAAACAAAGTGGCACCAGTCATACTTGACTAACTGACAGTGTGAGCAAGTGAATACATACTTTGTGATATCATCTCTCGTGTTTGGCCAGTGATCACTTTGACTCAAGAGATTGTATCCTCTTGCAATATATATGTGCGCTATATGATGATATTGCTGAACCAACTCATGATGAAGGCTTTTCAAAACCACCGTTAGTCAACTTTCATCACTTGCTTTCGAAAGTAGTACTTTTAATGCATTTAGTTGCAATCTGCAGTTCTGCTGTAACAACTTTTTCGAATCCATATTTCTTTCCGATCAGGCTTGATTAACAGACAGTGTGAACAGGTGAGGACATACTCTGCAATATCATCTCTGATGCTTGGCTAATGCTTAGTTTTACTCACGATTATCCTTTTCTGATCTCTGCGAAACGTTCTTCGTATGCATTCAGCAATCTGCTTCACTGCAATTAATGTGTGTCTTATTCTTTACCATTTGGGTCAATCAACGCAATAACCTTTTGAATGGTGACTTGTTTTGGTGATGTATCACTGAATAAAGTCCATAATGCATTTTCCGTCGTTTAGCGTTGCGTTTCATTTCAAATATTCATTGTTCTTCTTTAGGCCAACATGATAATATCTCCAATTTTGGCTTATTTTTCATCTCATACTTTTGCGGCCTAAACGGTATTGTTCTTTCACGTAACTTCTTGCTTCATCAGCAACAAACAACCCACCATCTATGTGACTCTCGAAACGTGTGTATTAATATAGTGCTAATGATGAAGAGCTATACAAAAAATAACATATTTCCTCATTCATTCCGTTTTCATTCATTCGGCGGCAGTCGTATTTAGTTAACTATTTCTAATCAATCACTCCAATTTACCGTATCGTACTATTTATTGTCTTCCCAATTATCTTATTCGCTTTGTTCGTCTTCTTTCATTCTAGTTTCTTACCATTGTCGATATCATTAGTTTCATTTTTATTTTCAGTGTTGTCATTACATCGCTCAAATCTCTATCCATTTCTTGTAATCAATCAGAGTGAAATAACGATGGCTCTTTTCCTTTTTTTATTTTCATCACTGCCAATAACATGTTTAATGTTTCTGCTTTTACAGGAAATGCTACTTTTCTTTAAATAAAACTCTAGAGAGTTTTTCCAACCTCCTTAAGAGCGATCTCACTATATTTAGAGTTTTATTCAGGTTACTAGGATTTACTGTTGCTGCATGTTTTGTTTGATATGGACGAGTTACAACATGTCGTTTTTTCATACGTCAATCTTATTGGTCAACTATTCACCAATTGATTTTTTTTTCATATGTACTCAGTCTACACTATTTGTTTATACGTGCATTTTATTTTATTTTTTGCTTATTTTTAACCGAAAAATCATTCTAGATATGTAAGGTTTAGTCTGTTTAGTCATTGCTAAGATTAGTTAGTTACTGTGTACTACTACTGATTATTCACATGAGTAGCTGGAAACCATTCACGTCTGCTAGCTAGACTAAAGTCATCTAAGCACCGGTTGATCGTCTCATTCATTTAAGGCCGAGCACATTAATAGTCTACCCGGCTTCATTCACTTTAGAGAGCCAAATCAGCCCAAAACACCCGAATTCCAGTTAGATGTTTTAATGGACTGGTAAGACAGAATTGAATTCTCTATTTGAAAATTACACAATCAGAAATGTAAATGACATTTACACTTCTGTGTATTTTATCTTTCTGCAATTTAGTGAAGAACAATAGTTTGAATTAATGCGTTGTTATGTACAAGGAAGCACTAGAATTTGTGACAAAAAGTTTTCTCACAATGTATGTAGACGGGGATCAACTTATTGTTAGACCGGAGATTATCAGGGTCTATTGTATTTGTGAGCAGGATGCAGTTACATTTCCCATGTGTAAACATTTACACAAAATATATTTTATTTGAAATCTTTTCTAATTTTTTAGTATTCTTAAAAAGTTCCCCACCTAGAAAAATAGCTCAGGTATAGTGAATATATACATTCATCTGTTACCATTGTCCTATACAAACAGAGGAGTTAGTCAACTTTACTGAATTTCCTCACTCTCTTTTAAGCTTGTTATCGAAGACGTTCAGCAATCGACACCGAAGTGTGCATCTAAAAGTAGTGTGAATATGTTGAACATTCAGATTACTAAATGTTGAAGATTAGTGTCTGTAAATATGAGTTTGTTCTGTGAATTGTTAAAGTACTAAGTTCTTAGGTAAAGTTAAAAGAGACTTCTGTCTGCATTTACGCGCTTAGGCGAATTTTAGTAGTCCAGGGAATTTTTGAATGAATGATTCTATCCTAAGGACTTGTGTTTGTGTTGTTCCCATTTAAATAAATCATCATTAGTCCTCGTGAAAACGTCAAATATTTATTCGATTACTATCTGTCTGCGAAAACAATAAAGAATAAATATGAAACAATCTATTGCAGTTATTTTCTTTCGAATTGTTTTACTTATTTCGATTCCATTGACTAGTAATAAAATAGTCGTAAGAAGATTTTTCATTTCTGGATATTTCTTATTTTTACCATGGTGTGTGTACAATATGTGTAAAAATTAAAAGCTTTTGTTAACTCGGCAGTTCGTCTTGCAGTGACTTACAGATAACGGTTGAGATTACTACTGTCCTCTATTCTGACATAAATTGACTTTACTTATACGCAAGAATGTCGGCTATGCTTATCCGTGAAAATGCGAACTTACGGTTAGGTCTGCACTGTAGACCTTCACACTACTAGCTGCCCAAATTTCTATGATGAAGTTAGCTGAAATCTGGCCTATTATCTTCACATTTTGTTTGTTTCCTCATGTACTAATTATTCATGTAGATATTTGTATTTTATGATGAATTGGTTGTATTATACTGAATTGTGTCTACCAAGATTACTGTGTATCTTTTGAGTAGTTTAGTGCCTCGATATGTTTTTTGAATAGTTAAAGTCAACTGTAGTTGACTTGAAAAATATATGCATTTTCATGCCATCTCTCCATGTATTTATTTGTAGATAGCTGCCAATCTTCTTTTGTGTTTAGAAGAAGAAACAGCCTTTTGGATGATGTGCAGTATCGTAGAAGATCTTCTACCACCATCATACTTTTCATCTGTCAGTTTGTTAGGTGTTCAAGCTGACCAACTTGTATTGAATCACTTACTTCCATTCTATTTACCAGAATTAGATAACCTATTAAAAGAATACAAAATAAGTAAGAATCTATTTTTACAGACATCCTGTTCAGGGTTTTTATGCATAAAAGTAGATTGTATCATATATATATATATATATATATATATATATATATATATATATATATATACTCTAAATGATCCCATTCTTCTTACTGTCCAACTTCTTGTATACACAATATTTCATCAGTATCTAAAATTCTCTAATTTTTCATCACTGAACATGGTATTGAAAATGGCAAATACATTGGATCAATGCAATAAATGGTAACCAATTTGCTTTCATTGGTCTTGTCAGCATTATTGTATCTAATCACAAATGTGCTGAATTAGTGCAACTGGAAAGGTTTACAAATTCACTGTATTACATTCTATTCATGAATGTTGAATAAGGAGAGGATCCCTTCCGCCGAATTTTTGTTTGCCTTTGGGTATTACGCATCATTTTTAAGTGGATATTTGACCTCTGAAATTATCAATAAGAGGATTTATTCAATCCTGTAACCTGAGAAAAAAAGACTTACAAATTGCTAAATTTATTCAGAGCAGATTGATAAAATTATATAAGAAGCAATAAAAAGTTAATCGGATTAAAAACAAATAATAAGTTGGGGACAAAGTGAAAAAAAAAGTGTTCATGTCGTTTGTAGCAGCAGTTGATTATAAATGATAAATAATGAAGATATTTTGACAGTTTAGCATTTTGTTTCCTATCTTTTTAATCATCTTCTATTTGGCCAACCAATAGTGTTAATTTACAACTACTTTCAGACTTCATTTTAAACTCTCTTTGAAAGATGTAAGTTCAAAAGCGATTCCACATCTGGCTAAATGTTTTAGTGCAAATAAAACGCGTAGTTCAGCAAAGAGTCTCTTTCCAGCGAATTCATTTACTTAGCTGTACAGTCGCAATTACATATACTTATTCTTTTTATGTATGAATACGACTGTCCGATAAGAATAAAAATAAGTTATTGTTATTGTCGTCAAGACATTTGAAAAGTGTGATGAGTAATCAAATTGTAAGTAGGGTGGCGTTGGGAGTGGAATGAAGATTGGTGAGAGGGTAGTGGAGATACGTTTTCAAAAGGACATAGTTATTAATGCTGATCAACACATGAAAGACGTTGAATAAGCACAGTGCAGTTACGTAGTAAGATGAGCAATTTAACGAGTGAGTTGTGATTAGAATGCACATAGAAACTAGGAGAATATGGAGTTATGTAAGAGTTGTAAAAATTACAAATATCATAAGGAGTTAGAAAAAGAAAAAGCACACAGACATCAAGTCAGTAGAAGTCAACATGGTTGTTACCGTGATAGTAGAGGTGGTTGGGTGATTCTCTTTTGTATGCGTAACTCTGGTCTTTCTAACTGAATGGCTGAGGCTTCATCAGTACAAAGGAGACGAAAGCGTATTTCCTTTGGTAGGTTATCCTTCACTTTGTAGATAGATCACTTCGAAGGAGGCGTTTGTTGAGATGGAATGACCAGTGTTGACGAGATGTTCGATTATCTCACTCCTTACACAGCCACTATTACCTTTTTCTATCCATGCAGGATAGCGTTGTTGAACCTTTTTGGACAAAATACGCGTCGACCAACCAATGTACCTGGCTTCACAGCAACAGGTGAATTGATATATGCATGTAGGAGTGGGGAGATGCGCGATCTTGTCCTTACGACTTCTGCATATCAATGGACGAATGGAGAACACTACTCTTAGCGTTGGTGCGAAGAATATCCTTTTCAAAGTTGCTGAAATTCTTCTCTTGAGGATATCGCAAGCTAAGTCTCCCTCGAAATCCAGATTCATGTAAAGTATCTCTTTTGAAACGAGTGATATTTGGCTCCTCTGGAACTTTAGTTTGATATTCTTGTGGATGAATCTTGGTCGGTATCCATTTTGAATGAAGGTTTCTTCCAATGGATCCAGTTCTGTTTTATGTTTTGCATATCTACACAGTTAATACTTAAATTCATTATTATGCTGTTAGGTTATTTCGTCATGAAGCATAGCGGGACGTTAAGTTCACTAACATTAATCCACCTGGTCTAGTCATATACACTAATGTAGGGTATATTTATTGAAACTTTCTACTCGGCTATACCAAATTTTACTCCATGCACTTTTGTTCATCTTTTCGATACTACAGTTTCTATTATTAATTCCAAACGAGTGCATTAGTTCACACCTTTTTACTCAATCATATCAAATATTTGCTAATTTTGTTATTAAAGTTGAACATATTTAAATTAATCTTCTTTTCTGTAAACATAGGTCTACCTCTTGTCACACTACAATGGTTTCTTACACTTTTTTCAAGTGTATGTCCTACAGCCTTAACATTTCGAATATGGGATTTACTATTCTACGATGGTTCAGTTGTCCTCTTTCGTATCTCTCTAGCACTTTTAGCCCACAAGGTATGTGAATTCATTAAATGTGACAGTTTTTTTGGTAGGATTTTGTTCACCTCATTACTCCAACTCTCAGTTAATTATTAATTGTGCCTTTTGGGTATTATCACACTCTTCGGTAGTAGTCTATTTATTATCGAACCGAACAGATTGTCTCTGATATGAATGCTTTGATTAAATATATGCAAATACTGCCTTACTTTTCGTAAACAATAAGTGTTAAACACCATTGTTTTTTTTTAAAAAAAAAGAAAATTAACAGCCAACTGGATCAAAGTAATGACCGTGTCATGTGAATAAAGCTTAACACATCCGACAACTGATAAAATTCTTCCATAAGGAAATGTCCATTAAGTATTTAAACAATATTCATCAGACTGTCAAATGTAATGTCAATGAAATCCACAACACTTAGTTTAAGCCACGTAGGAAGATGCAGACTTCCTGGTTAAGGTCCTCGGGACGGCAAAAACCAATGGTTGGAAACAATTGGTGACATGTCTCAAAATCGTTCTCAATGCATAGCGCAGATGCATCCACTCCTTGTGACTTATGATTTCCAATGAAACTATATTATTCTTCGTCATTACTACTCCTTTGTCTCACACCTCTGTTTACTGTCTCTATTGTGCATTTCTTCTACTTTCTTCTCTTTCTTTGTGTGCTACATGGAGGGAATGTGGCGACTTGAACTGCTGCACATCGGTGCAAAGTTCCATGTCGAAAACAGACAGACAGGCTATCGAATGTGTTGTTTACCAAGCAAGCGTGTGTGATTAAATGTCCTGATGTATACCTTTTAAACATGACTTTATAAGTGCGGATGGTATGGAAACACTTTGCAAGTGTAATTACTGGTACATTTGAATAAGCGTTCGTAGAATGGTTAAACGTATATCCTAGTGACAAAGATACACTTTTCTGTCATCCCGCTGAAAATATTATCCTAGTCATTTTAATTGTGTTTGCCATCCAACTCTCTTTTGTTTTCCTCTGTTACTTCTTACTATCCCGTTTTATCAAAAAATAATTTCTTATTGTACTTTGCAAATGTTAATTTATGAAAGATTAAAATTATTTGTAGTTTAGTTGTTCACACTTCCGAATTCCGTTCCTTGACGTACCTTTCTTAATGTTCCTCACCCGGAACAAAATCCCACTCCAGTTACCCAAATGATTATCTACACGCAATAGTGGGAAAAGAAATGAATCCGGGAATAATAAAAAAAATTCCAATATAGAAATGCGGTTTTAGGACACTGTTATGTACTGGTCGAGAATTTAATAGTCCTGACGCAAGAAGACGGAAATCAGAAGACCACTAGGTTTGCGATGATACTTCTATTTTCCGAACACAAGGAGAAACAATGTCACACAAGTGTGTGAGAGCAAAATATGAATGTCCGAACAAGTGTGTGAGCGAATATTCAAAATGAACAAATCAATAGAGAGTCTTAACGTGATTGGCTAATTATAATGGAATATCGATCCATATATACATAGCAAAATATAACAGACTGTCAAACAAACACACATATTATATGGATACATATCACATCCCCTTTTGAGAAGATTGGTGAATAGTAGCGTGTTTCCCTGGGGGTTTATCTGGAACCTTTGGCCTTGTGGTTGACGTATGTCGTTTCGTCTGCCTGTTGGGTTTGCGGCTTCGGCTTCGTCCGGAATTGTCTGACATTTTATGCTTGTTGACTGCATTGCATAGCGAATTTAGTGGGACATCAGCCAGATGCAAACGATCGAACCAATCAAGTCCCAAAAGATTTAAATCACTCTTGGTGACGTAGCAAATTCCTGTGAATCTGGTATTGCGGAAGGAAACAGAACATTTGAGTTCACCAATTAGTTTGAGCCGCCCACCACAGGCGCTGACAAGATTCTGGGAAGTATTTGTGATAGGTGGTCTGCCAATATTATTCCAAATTTTTTCTGATATAACAGTAATATCAGAGGCGGTATCTAGCTGCAGACGTGTATCATGACCGTTCATCTGAAGATCAAGATATTTCCACATACCTGGTGTTGTGACTTGACAGGTTGCGACTAGACTCATTGACCTTTTTGGGGATTTAGGACCAACAGTTTGTCGAGCTTTCGCTGTATTTGATATCTGAGTTTGCGTGGCTGGCAAAATCCATTTTTATGACCAATGATTTTGCACTTGCTGCAACGATGATTCTTGTATGGACAGGACTTTACAAAGTGCCACGCGCCACAATGCCAGCATGGTGATGGTTGGGTCTTCTTTGCAGTATTCTGTGAAGTTGGACGAGTATGTGTAGATTTACGCGAAGCATTAGGAGAAGGTTGGTCAGGACTGGATGATGAAGTGAGATTTTTGCTCTTTCGTAATGCACGAATATCAGAGCTTCTCGAAGTTGTTGATTCGACCAGGTGTGCGTCTTTCTGCAAATTAATCAGCCGTTGATATTCATCAGCTATATCATGTAGTGTTAAATTGGGATTTCGCTCTAGCTGATTGAGCAGTCGAGTTCGGATATCTGTGAAACGAGGAGACTGAAGACTGCATATGAGAATCAAGGCTTTGAATTGATCATCTGTTAAGGACCTGAGTCGAAATCTCTCACATTCTCGGTTGACTGTGCCAACGTGAGTAAGAAAATCATCATTTTCATTCATTGTCAGCTTGAGGCAACGATAACGTATGCTGAATAATGAAGAGTGGTCTCCAAAATGTTCACGCAGCAGCTTTATTGTATCATCGAAACACTTGTCACGTGGTTTCTGGGGTAAAATTAGGTTGCAGTACCGTTCATATTCTGCCGGACCCAATTTACGTAACAACACTCGCACCTTCCAAGAATCGTCTTGTGAGGCGAGATCAACTGTGAATAAATCCTCATATCGTTGATACCATGTGTCAAAAGTGACATTCGCATCTGGATCATAATTGAACTGTGAAATACTATTCACAATGCCGTCGACAGATGGTAGCATGGTATGATTGGGATTGCTTGAAGGTGAAGTTGGACCAGTCTGTTGGTTGACGAGCATTTCCATTAATTTCATCTGTCGTTCAAATAGTAATTCCAATTTAGAAGGATCCATAGTTTTCTCCGTCGCCAAATTATTGTTATGTTCTGGTCGAGAATTTAATAGTCCTGACGCGAGAAGACGGAAATCAGAAGACCACTAGGTTTGCGATGATACTTCTATTTTCCAAACACAAGGAGAAACAATGTCACACAAGTGTGTGAGAGCAAAATATGAATGTCCGAACAAGTGTGTGAGCGAATATTCAAAATGAACAAATCAATAGAGAGTCTTAACGTGATTGGCTAATTATAATGGAATATCGATCCATATATACATAGCAAAATATAACAGACTGTCAAACAAACACACATATTATATGGATACATAGCAGACACCAACCAAAACAATACATTCGTAGATTTATTTACACTGCAAATAATAAGGTCAGACAATGTTGACAGTGGTAATATTGAATTTGTTCACAAATTCTCTAAAGATCGTCAACATTATCGTATAACTAAACTTTTAAACTCATAAAATTCTATCGAGACGCTCTGAATGAGAATGTGATGATAAGGTATAATATGATCTGGACTTAACTACATCAGAGACTTATGAATATAAGGATGGCATAATTTAACTGTACTGTTAGGGGGTTGGAGGCACTCGGAAGGAAGGAAGCGCTGGACCAATTTTTCGTACATTTTGGCACTCTCCAGCAAGATGTATTTGCAACTTCTATGATACTAATGTGGCTGCACAGACTCGAACCCATGTCAGCAAGTGCTGCAGTCATTCATTTTTCGCGCTTATCTCTATTTACGATTACTTAGAGAAAACTATTGGGCCTAGGTGGTAGACATTTAGATCCATTTTCTTCTCATATTCACTTTGCGAAATACAAATTGTCAATGGTCATGACAATCATAGTATTGACGAATATCACGTGAGCAACGTGAAAAGTTTTCGAATTACGAATTGACTTCAATATCTAACAGATAAACTTGGGTCTATTTGCTTTTAATTGTTTTTGTACCCCGGGCGGCTAAGAGACAGTCTTTATTGTCAACCACCACCACGATTAATATTGTTATTATTGTTATTAACCGACTAGCTTTATTATACAAAAAATGGAGTAAGTAAACAGTGTTGGTTTGTCCTAGAGCCGTAAATAAACATAATATCATACATTATGCCGCTATACTTTGTTTGTCTAGCTGTTTGTCTGTCTTTGAGTGTGGATTCGTGTTTATATGCGTGCATAGTGAGCCAGCATTGACCCTAACGGCCGAGACAAGTCACAACCGTGATTTAATTTCACAATAAATTTGTCCGTTGTTCTCCCGCACACAAAATAAACACTTTTAACTAATTTCTCTTCTATTAAATGATATATGTTGACTGAAAAATCAGATATCTTACTCTGTTTAGTTGATCTGCTGAAGTGTTTGTTTATTAGAACGGATTTTTTATGTACTAGGATATGAGCCACATGTATTCTCTGAGGACTGATGATACCGTGCAGTTGCCTAGCCTAAAGTGAAGTGAGTGAGTGGGACTCGAAGCCGGTGCCTATTGCCTGTATGTTAAGGGTTGAAGAGAATGTGAGCCACTGATGTTGGCGTTTCTGTCGTTCTATATTCAATGTTTGAAAATATTGATTGGTAGCATGTCTCAAGGGCTACTTTAACTGAAGTTAACTCATGTCCGCGATTCACATCATTTGTTAAACATTACGTGGGTAGTCCCATTTTGCTTCAAAACTTTAAACATGGGGCTTCTTGTTGGAAACCTGTTTTTGGTTGTTCCATCTAAATAATCATTCACTCCCCATTAGCGGTCTCCGTTTGAATTCAGATGTGGAGATCTGACTGGACAGCTAGCATAGCGGATAACAGGTAGTTAAATAACTTGTCTATGCCATAATCGGACAAAAACCTTTCATCAAACAAATTACAATTATATTTTAATAGTTTACACACACACACAATGATAAGTTCCTTTGTTTTTGGTAACATTTCGAGCAAAACTACTGCCCGTGGTCGAAATATTAACAAAGCAAATATAATTATAATTTATTTGATCTACTCCACAACCCTCAAACTTTATACTGACGCTAAAATATGTTTCAGGTGTAATCAGTGTATGCTGAGCATCTGGATCTTCTGACTGCGAACACCACTTCTCTTGTTTACTAACTGCAAGAGGATAAATTACTTCAATCTCTGTTAAGATGTAATTTTAAGAATAAATTCACTTGGTGACATGGTGCTCACTATATCATTCAATTTCGCTACAAATTAGATTTCCAGTTCTCACTTGCCAACCTCACCACGGAACCTTTTACGAATCGCATTTTGTTATCACTAATAGAACATTCTGCCTTGGCTTAGAAACTTGACTTTCAGTCATTGTGCCTCCCATTCGAATCTCACTCTATCTACCTGGGCAACGACACACTAGTATCATGCTTCAAAAATGAATACGGTTTCTAGCCTTATACATGAAAAGTATGTACTGGGTAGCTGGGTTCTAACCAGTTATGAATTACTTATTGACAGCTCAGCTCACTATTGGCAACACTTAATTCTGTCACAACTTAAGTAAATATTATAATGATAAGACAATAAGGCTTCAACAGTTGACGTTCATGTAGAGAAAGCATATTTATTCTTTACCAAGCTTAAATTCTATGGAGTATTCGTAATATACTTTAGATTATTTAATATATATATGAGATGAAAAAAACACATTTTAAATGAAATCGAATGATACCTGTGCATTAACTGAAACTATCTTTCAGGAAGTCTCGATAACAATCTACAACTTTCTTATTCAGCATAGTTAGAATGGACAGGAACAGATCCAACTGGGAAGCTTGTCAGTATGATGTTTATATAGACAAACACCCAATTCTTCCATACTACGGCTGGGAAAATCTCTTGGTAATTTCAGTGAAATGATGACCTAGAGTCTGCTGCTCTGAATACTACTGCTCTGCGAAGCAGGTTTTTATTTATCCCTGTACATAATTATTAACTTCTTTCAAACAGCCTCACCAACAAAATACTATCTTTTCAAACTTACTAGAGGCTTTTAACTAATCGGCATGTTTAATACACTCTGTAGCTGAAAATTTCTTTTGTTATTAACTTGTATTGCTTACTGATAACATACAAGCGCACATCATTAAAAGGATAAAATCTATGCAAAACTATGATGGATCCCAATAACTTGTCGCTATATTGGTGGTTCAACGTTGGAATAATTGCTAACCACCTTGTAGGTTCCGATCCGATACCCCCTCAAACCTCGTCGAGCCAATACGTATGCCAAGAAAAGAGGCGAATTGGAGCATGAGGTTATCAGCACTATGACTAGAGAGATTGCAAAGCTTGAAGCCGTATGCGCTGGTCCATCTGGAGGGCAAGGAATGGAAACAAGCCTATCACAGGACTGATTAAAGACGAAACATAGCTTTCTCTTTTGAAAAAGAAAACTACAACGGATAGCCATTTGTATTCATGGATATTGCTTTTGAAAGGATTGAGTTGTGCTTCATTTGCTTCGAAATTCCATTTTCAATCAGTGTATGCGCGTATGTGTATGCTTTTATCATTTTTTTTATTTGTCTTACAGAATGATGAAATATTGAGTTTGGACAACTCATCTCAAATTTTCCATTCACTTTCCAATGCCCCAGGATCAGTGACTGATATAAACGAACTGATCAGAGTGAGTGAAGTTTTTCAACTAACTAACTTTTTATTCTTTTTTTTCTTGTTCAATCGAAAGGCTACTTGTCCCCTAGTAATCCGTAAAAGGTTGCGTCATGTACATTATTCTGATATTCCGCCTAAGTGCACTAGTTTCCATCATTTATTTTGCATAGTCTTTTTTGTATTTTTACCAGCAAAATCTCCACTGAATTGTTCACCTTTAACACAAATATGCAATTTCTCTTAGATACTTGTGACTGGTAATTTCATCCCTTATTACATCTGTTTTCCTTTCATCAAAGAAAAGAAGTATAGCATTTCATTTATTCTTTATTAGTTGAACAGCACTAATCACAAATTCGACTGTTATATATTTTCTGACTTCCAAAGCCATCACCTCTGTGGTCTGTTATACACATTACCTGACTGACTAACTGACTTACTGCATATCATTATGCCGTTTAATTTGTCTCTGGTCGATATTAAAGCGTTTTCATCGTCCCGATGTTGTTTCGTTTTGTTTTCTTTTGTTAACTCGTCTGTTTACTAGAACATGAAACTTGTTCTAACCTGCCTCTTTCGATTATTTTGAATGATTTGAGAGCTGCACTTCCTTAAAACGTTTTAAGATATTAAGATTTTTTTTATGGTACTCATTGTGAAAATTTCATTGTCATTGTAAACAATGTTAATCTGAACTAAAACAAAACTGCGATCAATTCCAAATAAGGAAAGAGGGTGGTGCACTAGCAGCTCAGAAAGCTGTTGTGATGAACAAAGCCCATTCATTCGGTCTTCACATTAAACATTACAAAGTAAAGATGTAAGTATGAAAATCCCCCTAACTCTTGTTAACGTGCAGTATTTCGTCAATACTTTTATTCTTATCACACACAAGATTTCTTAATTCTAGGAGGTTGGCTGATGTTGCCGTTTGAGTGTTCATTCTGTATCGGACAGACTAGCTGTCGTTTTCCTTTAACATACAACCTTTTTTTTCTTAGCCAACTGCACCAACCACATCTTTTAAATCAGTGTCACATCTTTTTATTTTGAATGCAGTATCCGGCAAGCAAATCATATGATGAGAAGTATGCTAATAAATAAGCTCTTGCAGCTTCGTCTTTGCTCATAGGAAACAGATTCCTAAAGGTATCTGTTAGATAAAATACTCATTTTTTTCGTTTTCATAAATACTTGTTGCAGTGATATGCACTTTTGTACATTATTATAACGTGCATGCTTCATTTAAGTTGACTTTAGTTATATTTAGTTATATTCTAAATGTGTAATTCATCTTGTGTTTACGCTTAACACCCTTTTTTAAAAAAAAAATCAGGTTGCTTACAGTCTGGATGAAGAACATTTGGAGCCGTCGAACATAAGCAGTCTCAGACGTCATTATCTAGCCCAGCTTATGGTTGACGAAGGCACTGTCTTGAAACCAGATTCCCGTCCTAATTTGCCAAAACAAGTGAGTGGAAATTTTAAATTAGGTTGTGTGATTAGTTGAAATTATCGGATTTTCACACAGTTACAACCAGCCCACCTGTTGTGTATAATACTCTTATGCGTTTTCGTGTTTAATGAGGTAGTGACTGACACTTTAGAAGACTTCAGTGTTGCATTGATGTATGTGTAACTCTAGTAGTGTCTGTTCGCCAAGCGCACAGGATATCCAGGCCTGAATATACAGACAAATATTAGGACAAGTGTTCGTTCTCTAACTAAAGTTATTTCTTGATCTTAAAACAGTTGACCATATTTTCACACTTTCTGTTTCATGTAGGGTTTGACTGTGTAATCTGTTAGTGAGAATCCAGTTGCCTGGATCAAACTGGACTGATAGAATCCAGTAAGCTCAAATACCAAGAACTGAGTACATGAATTAAAGTTCAATACTCAGAAAATGAAGGATGAAACTACAAAAGACACACTCACTGCAGCTAACAAAGCAAGGTCGCAGACATTGCGATCTACAACACGCTGAATAAAGAGGTGAAGAAGAGTGTCAAGATAGGCAAATGACAATTCTACAACAAACTCACAACTGAAGCAGAACAAGGCACAGGCAAATGGACCTCAGAAAATTAAATGAAATAACCAGATCTTTATCTAGGAAGATATCAACACAGATGAAACCAATAAAAGATGGTCAAGGAATCTAACAAACTAAAAAAGAAGAGACAAATAAAACAACGGGCCAATCATTTCAGAGTAGCCTTGAACCACCTAGAAATACCACCAACATTGGGTACAAAACTGCCAGTAGGCAATAATCCTTCTACAAAATCAGAAGTCTTTAACACAATCAAGCTACTGAGAGCCTGTCGGGAAGGCAGCAGAACCAGACGGAATTCCCCCTGAAGCACTGAAAATGGATCCAGAAACTGCATCCGATGCGTTTATGCTACTATTGCAAAGGGTTCGGAAAGAAGCAAAGGTGTCTAACGATTGTCAATCTACTAAACAAGGGCGACTTAAGCCTCTTGAAGAACTGGCGTTGAATAGTGCTCCTGCCTACGCGAAACAAAATACTAAGTCGTATCATCCTGGAAAGACCCAGATGTACACTAGGTGCAGAACTCCGCCAGCCCGAAACAAGCTGGATTCAGGAAAGGCAAATTATGAGCGGCTCAAATTACAACTCCACGCATCATCATCGGTCAGAAAATAGAAAAGTAGCCAAATCTTTCTACCTCAGTTTCATCGACCTCGAAAAGGCATTCCCCAGACAGCGCTGATGGCGAAATATTTTGGAAACCACTTCAATACAATGCTGTGCAGCGTCCAAATCCCTAGCAACCTCATTCAGTAACTGGCTATGCGACAATGGTACATGTCAAGTGATCCACAACGGAAAATTCAGTGAAGCCTTTGAAGTGAAGACAGGAGAAAGACAAGACTGTCTATTACCACCAATGATATTCCTAATTGAGGTGAGCAGAATTATACGTCAGATAGTCAGAATAAAGAAAACAGGAATACGTTGGACCGATGAGAAGACTCTACAAAATCTAGACTTTGTGGACAACTTGTGTCTAGTCCCACACTAACTCGACGATCTACAGGCGAAAACCAACAAATTGTCAGAAGAAGCAACCAGAATAGTTAGGACTTCAAGTGAACATACAGAAGATAAAGGTAATGAAGATAATCAGCCAACAAGAACAACAAGCACCAGTCACTATCAACGTAAGAAATTTTAAAGTGGTCATTCCCCCCTCACTTATCTAGGAAGCATCGTTTCAACTACAGGTGTACAACACCGATGCTAATGTCAAAAGCAGAATTGGAAAGGCAAGATAGACCCTTCATCACTCTGATGAAATTAGTTTAGAAATCTTTTAAACTCACATAAGATTCAGATTTTCAACACCAATGTCAAGTCAGTTCTTTTATTTGGGTCAGAAACTAGCAGTGTGTGTCACAAAAAGCATTTCTAACAGGTTACGACAGACATTTATCAGTAGCTGCCATCTCTGGCTCTATAATGAATATCGAATAGCCAGGAAGAACTAGCAACAAGAAACTCTGGGAACGGACTAATCAAAAAACTATTGTTCAACAAGTCGACAGAAGAAAGTGGAGATGGATGAGGGGACCATTGAGTGCATCGCATGTCAGGTCGTCGACTGGAACCCGGTTGAGGAACGGCGAGTTGACTGTCTGATGGTGACATCGAGAAAGTCCTCTTAGGAGGGAACAGAGTCTATAGGTAATCATGGGGAGCCAGCTGTAAAGGACCACAGAAAAAAGGACAAAATGGAGATGTGCTGGTGAATCCCTGTCTTCCACTAAAAACCCAAGGAAATAATAATATTAGTAGTAATAAGTACATGAATTCGGCTACACCCTAGTAACCCATCAATTTACCTTTTACAGTCTTCATGAATGTCATGTGTTAGCCCGAACATCTCAGTTATTACATGTTTGACTTCAAGATTGAATAAAAACATCAGTTTCTTAGTGTTTGTAGATACGTTTTGGTCACGGTGATTGCCAATAAGCGCGAAACCTAGACCCCAAGACTGTATAATATCAAATTTCCCTTGTACACCAATGTATGTGAGGTCTGATGATAGTACGCAGTCGCCCCGGTTGAAGTATGTGTAGCTGGATTCGCGACCTAAATTCCTTCTGTGACACTATTGCTTAAGCCAGTCAGTAGTGACACGGTCACCAACTATCTGTTCAGAGTCAGGCAACATGAGATCAAAGAGTGTGTATAGTAGAGAGTTAAATAACTAAGATTTGTTATTCCATAGTCGTCGAATGATTTTTGTGTGTTCATATAATCAAACGTAAAACTGCTTGCTTCTGTTTATCCATAATATTTGTGCGTAAACACCGTGTTTATTCATGTATGGAGACAGACCGTCTAGCTTTGTCAGACCTTAAAACAATTAGTCTGTAAAATCCACTTTTTTATTGTAAACGATCGCGAATGTCTTGCTCTATAAAATAAGAGATTCAGAGTAGCATGTATATGTATGTATTCACTTCACTAACTTTAAAATTTCAGTACATAACTTTCACTCTGTGGTTTATTGTTTCATTGTATTGACTATCTGATATATATATACACAACTGCGTGGGCTAAAATAAATTAGGGCAGAAGTTTTCTTTTCTGTAACTGATGCACATAAGATGAGATAAAATTCCCCATCTTATATTTCCGTAGCAAATTATTATTTAAACCAGTAGATTTATGCCATTTATTGCAATCCATAATGTTAAATTACTCACTCATATTATGTATATATATATATATATATATATATATATATATATATATATATATATATGGCCGTTGAATGGTTGATGGAGGGAATTTCAACTGTTTGCCTAATCGAACTTTTTTTCAAAAGTAATAATTAATGAAGTGGTCATGCTAGGTATTGATTTTATGGAATTTTTTTCGACGGAGTAGGCGGAGGTTAGGTGGGTCATAAATTTGCCCTTCTAAAACATTTCAGTTTTGTTTTTTTCTCTCGTATATTGCTCCCTTTCAATAAGAATTACACAGGATAACAACTTACAGTATGAAACATTCCTTAAGTTTTAATCCTTTAACTAACTGTAACTAACAGTAACCGTAATCTCATCTTGGAAAGGAGTAAATTAACGTAGTCAAATTTTTTGTAACATATAGTTCTTGTCAAAAAATACAAACTAATGGAGCAAAGGATTTTTAAAGCTGCTATCCCTGAGGAAAGTATTGTCTGCTGAGATTGTTGTTCAGTATACTAGTTACTTTACTTCAGAAGCAGTAGCAAAGATATATGCGTGTGAATGTGTGAAAACCTGTTGAATATAGAGTTAGAACGGACTACTGGTTGTGATGCATTTAAACCAAAGCTAGGAGGTTGTGTCCTACGTGCTTATAAAAATTTTCAAGTATTGGTTTACAGGGATTTAATTGATTCTAGTTCTGTTCACGAATCGACTTCAGTTGGCGAACCTTTGGAAAGTAGGGAGAACTGGACAGCTCTTTAGTCCTTGTTAGAGACTCTTCAGCAGTACGCACCCATGATCATAGGAGAGATCTAACGCAGGACCTTCAGGTTGCACGGAGAACCAGTATGCTATTCAACTCTTGGAACGCAATCTAATGGTCCATCATTCCTAACTTCTCCTAATTTACGATATACCGTGACCGCCAATCATTATCATCGGTGAGTGTCTATCCCTACGCTCAACTTGGTGGACCCCGCTAGTCGCAACTTCCCACTAAGACTTCAGTCAGCCATTAGTGAACGCTAGATTGACTTTCAAGTGTTTGCTTGCAGAAATTTGATTGATTTTACTTTCATTCACAAAGAGTCCCAAGTAATGATGAAACAGCTGTTCAATACTCTGTGTTTCTCTTTCTGAAGTCAACTCGTGATCGAAATTCAGACCAACAAAACACCTAATTATTAACTGGTTTTTACGTATGGAAAGTGAAATATATCTCATCCACTGATTTTTCATCCCCAACAATCACTTCAATATTACAATCGTTATGATGAAATAGTCCTTGTGACTTATAATATCCAATAAAACTAAATTATTCTTCGATATTACTTTTCTTTATGCCTCATATCTCTGTTCACTGTCTCTATTTTGAGTTTCGTTTTACTTTCTTCTCTGGCTTTGTGTGTTAAGTGAAGTGTAGCGACTCGAAATGCTGCACGTCGGTGCAAAGTTCTATGTTTAAACCAGTCAGTTTATTGTTCAATTACATCGTCAATGTTTATTTCTCATCTGTACACATAGTCGGTATCAATTCACAACAAAGACTTCCAGATTTCAACATTTTTACTTTAATTTTCATTACTGATACATTTTTTTACTATAATGGAAAGGTAACCTATTGTTACATGTTGGAAAACCTCTTCCCTCCACAAAATGTCAATTATGTGGACATGAAATTCTGTTTCACTATTCAAGGGTCTACTAACCTAGGAAATCCCCCCTCCTATGGAATGAATTTAAAACTGTAGAAATTGGTGGAACGTATGTTTATAAAATCAAGCTTATAATTTCACAATTAACAGTCTACTTTATCTAGAAGAATATTCAACTACTGAATGGTCTACTTTTTATCTTACCTTTTTTAATAACTTATGTTTGTTCCCAAATGCTATATTTGAAGGCGTTCACACGTCTACCTATTGTTTACTTTCAGTACTTAGCCAAGCGACAGTTTCAGCGGCCGAAATCCCTGTTGACCACACTGTTTGCCTCTGTAACATCGAATGGACAAGCATATCGTCGAATAACTGGTATGGCTGTACCATTTCAGTATTCAATTGGTAATAATGAGATATCACCGTCATCCTCATCATCGTCATCATCAGTGCGTTGTAAGTCTGCCTATGTCAATGTTAGTTTACATGAAGGCAGTGTAGAAGCAGATGATCCAAAGTTAAAAAATGTACACCAAACGGAAATACTCGTGGAGTTAAAACAATCCATTCAGTTGGTATGTTGACTGATAATGTTTTTTATTTATTTATTTATTTATTCGGTAATAAGTATTTTTAGCTATCTATCAAAATTACTGTGTTTTATTTCACTTATTTAACGCAGACTGGTACTACAAAACGACTGTTTGTTTATAATTAACATAACTGATATCTTTTCACCGAATCTAATTAATTAATTAATAGAAGTCCAGCTTCGAATGACTAATTACTGGTAATAAGCACTAGTGGTCTTAAGAGCTTTCATTCAGTCTATTGTGTTGCTTGAAGCAGTACGGACAGAAGCATTTAGTTTGTTCAGCTCAGTCGATTGATACTGATATGACACGTGTTACGCATGCCAAACCGTCGCCTTCCTCAAACAGAAAATCAGTTACTGACTAACTGTGGTCTGCACCATACTAAGATTCAGTAGTAGGCGAATGTTAGTGATAGGTTAGCATAGTGTACAGTGGCTCAGATACTATTCATTCCTTGTTATCCTCACTAAACTTAATTTAACTATTCACTCTTTCATATATCTTCATTTAGTACAGTTTCAGTACATTTCCGTTCTTGACTTTTACGTGTGCCTTATGGTTATCTGGTGGTAGTACCTTGAATAGGTATTATTTTGTGGAAAATTCCATGTTGATAATACAGTTCAGTTTATTTCGTCGAGAAGAAAGGAATACGCATATATCAACTCTAAATATCCTTCGTTGTACACCGCATAAATTAGTTATTTACTTACGGATATTTAACTCACGTAAAATATACGAGTTTTGAAAATCTGTGATATTAAGCGAAAAGTTTTCCAATGGTTCTGTAACCGATAGTCATTTCGCGATGAAATCCTGTAAAATTATTTCTTTTCCCATAGGGTATTTTGAAAAATGATTTAAGCGTATCAGTTTATTTTATTTTTTTATTTTTATTTTTTGGTTACAGCTTGATTCCACACCGTACTTTTGGTACAAGTGTGGAATTTTCAGCGTGGATATCGGTAGTCCAAAATTCTCAGGCCAACCATAGATATCAGGTGTGCGTCGGCGTGGGCTCGAACCCTGGACCATGTGCATGGTCGGTGAGAGTCCTAACCACTGTGCCACCGACGTTGTGGAGGTGGTACTCAAATTTCGAGAATTTTTTTCTGGACTCGAATTCCATGCCTACCTCACCTTCACCTCGCCTATTTCATGCGATCGAGTGGTACCATAAATCTTCTCAAGAATTATTTATGTCTTGAAGACTAATAAATAAACAGTGTGTCGAGTAATAGAATTCTATTTTGGCTCACTTATAATTGTTTTTCTTTCCAACATCTTTTTTTTGAAGCACAGATGAGAACCTTTTTCCTTTATTTATCACAAATGGATATCCTTATCTTTGTTTGTTGTTTTTCGCTTCTTTTGATGACAGTATTTTTGTTTGCTATTCTTCTATAACCAGCTACTGTAGACCCAAATCATTCATCATCCTCATCATCGTCATCCCAACAATTTCTATCCACTAATCAGCTAATTGTGTTTTCCCACTCAATTATTAATAATATGCTCTATCTAATTCACTTTTTTCTTTCTCTGACTATATCTCTTTCACAGACACTAGAATTTTAGATTCATGCATGATCACACTGACCGTGGATAAATTTTCTAGTATATGTATATATCCGGTCCTGTGAGGTGTGTTCCGCTAAAATGATTTATTTCCTGTCGCTGCGCGTGATTGTTTTCAATTCCTTCACATAAAACGGTGAAACATACTCCACTTGAAATAAGTCACATTGAATACAAATTACTGTTGCAAATAAAAAGTATGTACTATTCATCAAAGAGAGAAGGGGCAGAGGAAGAGATATAGCTAGTAGAGTTTAGCAGAAAGATGTTCTATCATTGGGATGGATAAGCGAAGAATATGTTTCTCCAAAACCTCGAGTAACAGCCTTTGATTGTTCCTTTGCATTGAATTTATCTGAAGCACTAGTGTTACACTAAGAAGTCGCTGATATATTTACCTTTATTATAAGTGCTCTCCACTGAATAATAATCATCATCATCATCATCCGAAAACAGGTTGAATGTTGGATTAGTGTATCTATCACTTATCTTTCAATCAATATACTTGTTACAATATTTTACCGTGTATAACTTTTTGTCTCATAGATTGTACGTCATTTTCGAACAAATGATCCGGAACAACACGGCAATGCTACAGCGCATGCTGACTACTCGATGGAAAGTCATAAATTGGACCTGGATTCTTATGTACAGGTAAAAAAAGAGAACTACAAATATTCCATTTACTTTCATTATTTAGGCAAAAAAACAGACTAGCTGTTTATAATATAACAGTATGAATTCTACAACAATAACTCCTGTTTATATGTTAAATATGCGCTTTGATGAATATCATGCAACAGTATGCACCCACCAGTCCCAGTGACTGTATGGTCTACGATCTCGCCTTGTAACCAGATGATTATGGGTTCAAACCCCAGTGGGTGCGTACTGCTGAATAATATTAATCAACACATATAAGCACATAAAACAGAGTTGATACTATTATAAACATGTAGTTGTGATAATAATACCGGAATACATTACTGTTTTTCAACACCAAGTAAATCTATTCTCTACAATTTTTGATCCACAAGTTAGTTTAGTTATCTGAGTGTGTCTAATAATAGCACTAATAAAATTCTCAGTCACTGAATCTCACTCATTAACCTGTTTGCTTACAATTTATAACTTCTTTTTTGCTGTTGTTGGTTTTTTTGGTGACTATACAGTATAGACACTGTATTCAAGGTGCAGCGGCAGCAACTGATCAGACCTTTGATCTTTCCAAATGAATTTATCTATGGAGACTGGTTTGATATGTCAAATGACAACACTCATGAGAAACTGAGACATATTTTTGATTTTCTTCTGCATAAGACAAACAAAAAGATAAAAGTTCCTCGCATACTCGTTAAATTAATATCGAGAGTAGTTTTTGTAAACACGTAGTCAAATTTCTTGTCTGCAGCACTTACGTTAGCTCCTTACACACGTTATCGATGAATATATATATGCAGAGAGAGTCTAAAGTTTTTGTCCATAATGAGTAATCTAACTTTCTGACTTGTCGTTCCTTCATCTTACTTTCTGCCTCATAATCTTCATGTCCACTTTTCTACATACGTATACAATCATTTCATCATTTTTTTTTATCTCCATCCAGTTTAACGTTTTCTTCTTGTTCACTTGTTTTCGTCACCTTCTGGCATACTTTTATTGTTGGCATAATTGGTAGGGCTTAGGCGCACATTCGTTGTATTGTTAAAGGAATATATTGCCTATCTATCTGCTGAATTGATCATGTGTTAAGGAAGTGAGTCAACGTATGCCTATTAAATAAAGCCATATTCGCATCAAAACTTAAACCACCGTTTGACTGAATAGCATAATCCAGTGCGTAATTTCAATGTTGGCTTAAATTATACCTGTCTGTCTGTCTGGATTCAACATAGAACTTGGCACCGAAGTGCAGCAGTTCGAGTTGCCACCTTCCAAATAGCACACAGAGGTAGACAAGAAGATGAGTGAAGAGAATCAATAGAGTTTGACAAGTATAAGAGTGAAACAGAATGGGTAATGGTAGAAAGGAATATGAAAGATTACAGAGACTGAATACATCTGCGCCATTGACAACGATTTTGAGCCATGTCACCTATTGTCTCCAGCCATTGATTCCTAGAGTCCCGAGGGCCCCAACCCGGAAGTCTGCATCTCCCTACCTGACTCAGTTTAACTGTCAAGGATTTCATGGATTGATGCCATGTTTTTGTTTGGCCACCACTGGCTCTTTTCCAACCTGCACCTATATCAGCTAGTAATGCCCGTCGGGGGAGGCGATGGTTAGGCATGCGCAGCACGTGACCTAGCCATCTCAGTCTATGTAACTTTATAGCCTCGTCGATTGATTTTCCCTCTTTGCCCAACACTCTACGCCTAACGTCAACATTACTTACCTTATTAAACCACCTAACGTGAGACAGAGATCGCAGACATCTATGATCGAAAGCAGTCAACCTTTTCATGTCTTCAACGCGTATTGGCCATGTTTCAGAGCCATAGAGAAGGACGGAGCGAACTGATGAGCAGTACACACGTCCCTTGGTTGATAACCGGATGTCACGCCTACGCCAGAGATGGTGTAAGTCAGCGAAAGCAGCTCGAGCTTTTCGGATCCGTGCTGAGATTTCATCGCCAATCAGTCCGTTGGTGCTAATACAACTTCCCAAATAGGTGAAGTGGTCAACATGTTCTATCACTTCACTCCCTATCACTAAGTTAGGAGTTGACGTAGTCCAGTCCTGTAGCAGCATCTTACATTTTTAGGGGCGAATCGCATGCCAAACATACGAAGATTGCTGCTCAAGGTGTTCAGAAGACTCTGCATTTTGTCAGCATCCTCCCCTAACAGGACTATGTCATCTGCATATTCTAAGTCCATAAGACTATTCCCTGGTAACAAGTCGATTCCTAAGTCATTACGTTCAGTTAAGGATACTTCCATCAGCATATCTATGATGAAGTTAAACAGAAATGGGGAAAGTGGACATCCCTGTCGGACACCACTGGTTGTTACCAATTCAGATGACAATTCCCCATAAGCCCTTACACGACTACGTGAGTTTGAATAGAGTGCCTTGATTAGTGCAATGTACTTTCTTGGCACTCCCTTCACAGTCAGACATTGCCATAGTACCTTTCGATCCACGGAGTCGAAGGCCGCCTTCAAGTCAAGAAATATGACAATTGTTGGACGCCGAAAAGTGTGTCTATGTTCTAGAATCTGTCGAAGAGTGAAGATATGATCTATGCACCCTCTACCTGGTCTAAAGCCTGCTTGATTTTCCCTTGTCTGTTCCTCCCGAGTTCTGCTTAGTCTATGCATGATTACTGAGCCTAGGATTTTAGAGACTATGTTCGTTAGGCTGATCCCCCTATGATTATCACACGAGGACTTGTTTCCCTTCTTGAATATCGGTATAATAAGTGACTTACCCCAGTCTGATGGCACTGTCTCTGATTCCCAGACTTTGCCTAGTACCTCAGTTAATCTACAAACTAGTATGTCACCCCCATATTTAAACACCTCCGGAATAATTCCGTCGGGTCCTGCCGCTTTGCCTCGTTTCAAATTACTGATAGCTTTTGTGACCTCACTTACAGACGGCGGACCAGTGTCTATATCCCATTCGGGTGTGTGCTGGATGTCGGGGAGGTTCAGTGTGGCTGTAGGCAAGTTAAATTGTCCCTCAAAGTGTTCTTTCCAGCGTTCAAGGCGTCTATCCTGAGAGCTAATTAAGGAGCCATTTTTCTCAGAAATTATACCTAACAAAATAGTACAATGCCTTATTCACTAAGTTCAGCTGTGAATTGATCATGAGGCTTATTACAACAGCATCCTTCAGGTACATTTCTTTTTCGACAATTTTTTCGTCGCCATTTACCCTGAATTTATATGATAAGGTATTAAGAATACGCTACTTCCTCAGATTAACCACCGTCAAATCAAGCGACATTGTTTGACTTAAGACAGAGGAAGCGGTTCAAGTCATCTAGTTTACATCCAAGTTGATTGATGATGGGTGGTTGGTTGGTCGCTTGTTAGGTTTACATACCCCACTAATGGGCTGTCAGTATAATAAATTTGTATTGGACTCGTCAAATACAATTTTCACAAATGAAAGTCACTTTTATGGGAAGTCTATGCTTAGCGTAAAATAATTTGTAAGAATTCCATACTAGTTTCTTTATTGGATATATCACACAGTGAAACAGTATTATTTACTGGATGACATTTCGAACACAATTTTATTGTTCATAATCATATCAATTGTAATCACACGACTTCGAAACTTGAGTTTTATAGTTTTCTTTGTCTTCTCCTATTTGTCGTAGGGGCGGTAGAGTTTTCCAGATATCAGGGACAGGTGATGAATCATTCGTATCACACGTGTTTGCAGTTGATTCGATAAACAAAGCTTCTGTTATCAATCTCTCCCTCTCTCCACCCTGTGATATTAGATTTTAAAACTGTCATCTTATCCAGGCTCCACAAGATCCTTTAACCTATAGAGCATGTTTCTAATTGAGTTTGTGGGTTTGAACGCCACTTTGTTTATCGAATCAACTGCAAACACGTGTAATAGGAATGATTCAACACCTGTCCCAGATATCTGGGAAGTTCTACTACCCCTACGACAAATAGGAGAAGACAAAGAAAACTATAAAACTCAAGTTTCGAAGTCGTGTGATTACAATTGATATGATTATGAACAATAAATTTTGTTCGAAACGTCATCCAGTAAATAATACTGTTTCACTGTGTGATATATCCAATAAAGAAACTAATATGGAATAACTTACTACCAAAGTGCTCAAATTTTACACATTAATTTGTACGAATGTTTTCGTTTTGATCTGAGTATATAATCTTGTTACAACTACTTACATTTTCCCATGTTTTCCTATTTGGTATCTATTTCACTCTATTAACAGGTTGTACAGCATCGTAGACGACGCGCTAAGGCACTGATGGACTTCGAACGGTTTGAGATTGATGAGCTGGAATTCCACAAAAACGATATATTAACTATAATCAATTCAGATGATGAACACTGTTGGATTGGTGAGCTTAACAACCAGCGAGGTTGGTTCCCAGCTAAATTTGTTGAACTGTTAGACGAACGCGGGAAAAACTATTCATCCGCTGGTGATGACGGTGTAGATAAGTCGATTGTTGGTCTTGTTCGGGGAAGGTAAACTCTTTTTTCATCTTCTTGTTGTATTCTGGATTTTGTTGGTTGTTTATCTTGAAAGTGTACTCATCCTTCTGTTGGTTTAATACTTTGATGAGGTTTTACAACTTTATTGTATGAAATATCTAAATGAAAATGTATTGAAATAAACAGAGAGGAATGAAATCAAATCCTTTAATCTAATTAATTCCTGTCATAAGTTGGTATTATTGAATGAATCGAACAACGTTCTATACATGTTTACTTCCAAGTTCTAGATTGTCTAGGGAATTGTATACTCGTATTGTTTTCTCTAATTGTGTCCCAGTTGTTTTGTAGAGTAGGTTGTCTGATTTCTAATCGGTTGTGGTTAAGCTCTGCTAAAAAAGTTCTTAACCAAGATCATCTGATTTCCATTCGTGGTTAAAACATTATTTCCTGCTTAATCTTGGATAAACGAATAATAGTCTAGCACAACTGTATTTCTCTAGTCGAATTGTTCTTATTTGTCCACGTGCATTAATATGAATTAATATACAGATGAATATAATGGCAAGCGAATCACTGTAAACGACCGATTCCAGTTAAGGTGGACAGGAAAAAGGGTTACTACATTCCTGAAAAATTCAAAGTGCTCACTTAAGTTTGGAGTCAAAGCTGAAAACATAGGCTATGAAGGCAATGAAAGCTTCACAATTAATTCGGCCAACTGAGAGAACACAACAGGATTACTGACTCCATTTAAGCATAATATTCTATTCTGGTTTATTCTCTGTGTACTTCTCTTTTATTAGTCTTTACTGTCTTCTGATATCCTTTAGGTATTCAGTATTAAAATCTATCCCTTCTTGTTTTGATCCGGCTTCATGGATCACTCGAGAGTGTGTTCTATCACATAGATGAATCACTTTTATGAAAATTTGTTAGCCTATAGTGGTTGTTGCAAACAACAACAAATCAACCTCAGATGATTTCGTGTTTAAAGCATTCAGATAGATATTAACGAACCTACATGTAATTCCACATAATGTATACCTGTTTAATTTGCTATAACCAGATTATGTGGAAAACAACAGCGGTTTGCACTCTCACCGATCATGGACATGGTCCGGGGTTCGATCCCCTGCCGACGCACGCCTGATGTCAATGGTCGGCTACCGATATCATATGCTGAAAATGCCATACTTGTACCAAAAATACGGTGTGGAATCAAGCTATAATCAAAAATAAATTTTTTTTAATGTTAAAACATTTTTAAGAAATCTAGCCATTTTAACAGTCAGAGACTTTGTCTTCATTAGCCCAAATGCAGTAAAATGCCTTGTTCAGCTAACATTGAAATGTAAATTAAACTTTTCTCTCAGAGTGTTGTGAAACGCTTTATGCCTTTGTCACCATCACTGCACAATCTCAGTTTCATTGGGGTTTACTCAATATCTATGTGTACTTTCAAGCTAAGTTATATTTATTTTAAGCGTGAGCTGCTTTACACATAAACTAACCCCGTATAAAATGAGAATTTTAATGCATTGCCACAAATGATGAGAGGCTTATTTACTTATGACCTAATTTGCTTAATTTAACAAAGTTAAGGTCATAAATGGTATTATTTTTAAAAAAATTAATACTTATTGAGATAATGAACAACACGAATTCTTTGTTCTTTAGGAGAAGGGAAAATTTCCAGCTAAATTTATCATCTACGATAGAGCGTAAAATATTACGATTTCTCCCTCTCTCTCTTATTTTTCTCATCATCTGTCTATCTATCTATCTGTTTTGTTTACCTGCCTTAATTACCTTCATATTTGCAATCACACCCATACACATGCGCATCCACTTGTGTCTGCAATAAATGCATAAGTTCATGATTAAAATATGAAACAAAAGATCACAATTTTGCACCTACCTACATAGGCCAAAATTTGCATGTAATCAGACAAAAATCAAGTAAAATTCACTGGATATAACTTTAAAGACTCAGTAATATGCGTTATTTGAAAAACTCCATAGATTAACAGATGCCGATCGATTCGAATGACAAGTACAAAGGAAACATAAATATGTTACTTAGTTGGTGACGCCTATCTGAATGTACCTGCCTCTCCCATTGAGACTCAAACGTAACAACGATCGTTTCAAACACCAATTCTTCTATCCACTTGGCTGTTGACCAAGTGACATTATATTGATCTTAATGCATCGATGACGCGTCTATACTGGGAGTATCAACATGTCAACAGAGATTGAGTATTTCAGTCCAATAAAATCAATGGACAGAAATTTCGAGATAACTTCGATAAATGTTATTTAACAAGTCACCTGTAAAAGCCAACATCTTTTCTTTATTCATGGAAATGGAACACTAATTTCTTATTTCATTTCTTGAAAAGTGTCCATAGAATTCCGCATGTGTTTTGCCTTTCCATCAAGTTGAAAAAGGTATATCTCTACTGAACAATATATATAGTACGGACAAATGTAATAAATGGCAACTATAGAAGTTCTCGAAAAGACAATAAAGTACCGAGAATTAACCTATACTAGGGTTGGTACTTGATAATACAGAAATTCAGTCTACTTGATCACTTCACAGCTGATTAAGAATATACTTAATAGGATCGTTTGTTAATCTCGGTATTGAACATCATGAAACTGAATACCACTCTATTTCCAAAACCAAAATACTCACGAATATTTTCTCCATAAGTGAACACTTTAATCTTAACGATACAGTCCCATACTAACTTTCTCAATCTTTACCATTTCAGTCTTTGCCATTCCCTTGGAGCAGTATTTTCCCATGGATTAAAGCGACCACGTTTACTTGGGGATGCTGGTTGCCATCCGTGGCATTTTATTGAGGAAGCTGCGGCTAAAGAAGTGGAAAGGGATTTTTCTTCTGTTTATTCACGTTTAGTATTGTGTAAAACCTTTCGATTGGATGAAGAAGGCAAAGTCTTAAGCCCAGAAGAAGTCTTATATAGGGTAAGTAATGATGTCTGTATTACTTCTTGGTACTTTTAATTGTACTCTCTGAACAAGCTTTTTCTCGGATAGACATTTTTAAACTGCAATTGCATTTCAACAAGTGATTTCTGAGTTAATAACCTGGTAGTTTATCAACTTAGCTTTAAATCTTAACCTCCAAGTACTTTTATTAATTTCGCTTTAAGCGTCAACGGATATACTCGTATGTTATTTTAAAATGATCAGACAGGCTACTAAATTAATCATCGTATCTACGGGAACATGTAGCTGAAAATGATTAGTTGGTTCACCTAACTAAATATACTGATATGTGGTTCTTCTCTGCCAAATGTAAGATAACACTGGTCTAAGCCACGTAGAAAGGTGTAGACTTCCAGGCTGGGGTCCTCGGGACGGTAAAAATCTATGGTTGGAAACAATTGGTAACATGGCTCAAAATCGTTCTCAGTGGCGCAGATGCATCCACTCCCTGTGACTTATGATCTTCAATGAAACTGTTTTGTATTTCTTTATTACTCCTTTGTCTCACACCTCTGCTCACTGTTTCTATTATGCTTTTCTTGTACTTTCTTCTCTTGCTTCGCGTGCTACACGGAATGTGGCGACTTGAACTTCCGCACATTTGTGCAAAGTTCTATGTCGAAAACAGACAGACAGATTTTAAGGTTAAGAAGAGAAATCGATGAATGTTTTGGGTCAGTCATGATGAACTAGTCGCTGACGTAATAAGAGCACGGATTGAAGGTGGTCGTGTACCACTTACCAAATTAACTCACCTTTGGTGCTGATGTAACATGTGGATACATGTCAACGCCTCAAGAATTTTAACTTCTGTTAATTCGCTATAAATACTGACACCACCGGTCGATTTATTTCTGCCCACATATGAACTGATGAACCCCATCTGTTACGACTTCTCACTAGAACTTGAGGCAGCTCCATCCTACAGTCATTTATTAGTGAGCATTCAATTAATTTTCAAATGTTGGTTTATAGGGATTGGATTGGTTTCAAGTTAGATCATCGAAACCTCTCGTTAGGCCATGAGTGCGTACTGTTAAACAACGTTTTGACTTCGCTAACTTGTCTCAGCTTATCATGGAACTTGAAACTCCTCTCGATTTCATTAAATGTTCTTATTTTCCTTTGCTTGATCCAAGTGTGTGTTTTTGTCAGCAAATTCTTCAGTTACGTATGCATAATTCACCATTCCTCTCGTCATCTACTGAGTTTATTGCGGTTATGATCAAATTACCTATGAGCTTATCTCATGGTAATAGGTTATTTTTAATCCTTTTACTCAGGGAAATAACCTTTAAATAATTTATTAACTATGGGAACATTAAAGTTCTCTGTCTCTCTTATGTATCATTCTTCCTTTTCTATCCCTAAACAGTATATGAATTAATAATGATATTTATAGCCTCAATGGGATATAAATCATTTATTACAATTATCGTTATTGTTTCTGTTACATTCTGTCTGTGCAATAAGTAAACGTTACACAAAAGAAACAATTTTGTTGAATGTCTCTCTCTCTCTCTTTTATATATATATATATATATATATATATATATATATATATATATATATAAAGAGAGCAGCTGTATATTAAGTTATTCATATATATACATACCTGCTTATTTTCCCCATGTTTTCTGTTTTCGCCTTTTCTTCCACTGTGTCTCTCAAAATCACGTGCTCATTCCTTAAACCGCCCACGCACCATTTTATATGTCCTTACAAATGTGAATACACCCACTCACTCTGGAAAAAAACAAACTCGTATACTTGTACAGACTATTCACAGCATAAACATGTCACACGATCTCGCCAACGCTCATATGGACATCAAATTTCGTTCCCTCATCTGTTTGGGCTTGAAGTGAGTTGTGTTTTTTGTTTGCAGTTTATAATGCATATATGAATGAATATATATATATATATATGTCGATACATGGTCTCATGCTATGTGACTTCTCAATGTTGTGATCAGGACCAGCTTACCGCATAGGACATGTTGCTAGGTCATTTAAAAGACAGGATGATCAGCGAACTGGTATTTGGTCACATTCTGGTGTGTGTGTGTGTGTGAACAGCATAACATTGTGTCCTATGCTGTCAGTCACAGAAACAGTCTGACCAAACGGATCTTGGAAATTATTTCTTCTGTAAGTATAACAAAGAGTGCTTTGATGATGATTTTCTCCTTGTCAGTTCGCCGTACCTTAAAATCCCAGCGGTGAAGCATGCCACTAAGCTTTGAAGAGTTTGTGTGCTCCATTTAGTAAAATAGTTACTCTAATGCATTATTAACACTATTCCTTAAATATCACCTTTTTTACTACTTGATATGAAATGAAATGTTATTCAATGGTCACTTCCATTTCCATGCAGTTAGCAATGAGCCATATCCATTATTTAAAGTGCAGTTGTACAACCTGATTATCCAAACCTTGGTAGACGGGTTGGGGCTTAAATCCGTGAACTAATGGTTTTAAGTAAAATACCTAGACCAATGAGCCACAGCTCCATTCAACTAAACTGAAATCTTAGTGTCTCCTGTTTGTTTTGTAAATTCATACCAGAAAAAGAGGAAAACTGTCGCAGAATATTACCTGTTTGTTATTCGATTTATTTGGTTTACTTGCACTATTTTATTGGCCGTTTATGGAATGCTCACTGGATGTGAATTGTTTATCCTGAGTTATTGACTAATTTGTAAACCAGCGGAGACATTTTGCAATTGAGGATAAAGTAATTTCAAGGTTTTCATACAGTCATCGATTTCTCTGTATCTATAAAATCTAAAAAGTAATGCTAATCTGGTTGAAATCTCTAAAATCGATGGCTAGATACTTTGGGTACTTAAAATCACTGATAGCGTTGCAGTTCTGTGCTGTCTTTATCTTTCTGGAAATTTCAAATCTTATCATTCGACTTCTCGTTAAATGAAGTTTCTTGCTGTGTTCACTTTTCCTTTGTATGCCATCGTTTTTTGGTTGCTTCAACATATCTTTCTGTCACAGTGGACTAACTCTGCATACCTAAGTTCCGAATTATTATGGCTTCTGCGTGTTTAGCGATGTACCTATATTTACTTTAAAATCAACGGTTATGCATTGGGATCTGAGAATGATGATTTATGTAACGACCTAAAAATCTTTACAACCATACCATCACAATGTGGTGTTTCCGAACGATTCTACTTCAACTGTTTACCATGTGGTCCGTAAGTCGGCCACCAGACTTAAGGTTATGTATACCGTGATTTATCTTCAGTAAAGCTTATAACCAAGTTTTATGAGTTTATCTCTAGTTACACGTTTTTTAGTGAAGTTATTTTCAAGTGGAGGCGCAGCCTACTGGACACAAAAGAGAGAAGAGGAGCAGACGTTGGCTCAGACCACTATCTAGTACAAGGGACAATCCAAATAAAATTAAAAGCTTTCAGGGAATCAGGAGCTGCAGATAGACCACAAGCCAAGTTCAACACTCAAAATCTGAAGGACCAGGCTACAAAGGACATCTTCATTGCAAGCTTAAAGGAAAAAGCCGAGACACAAATCAACACCAACGAAAACGTCAGTGTCGAAAAGCACTGGGACAACCTGAAAACGGTGTGGAGTCAAACCTGCATAGAAGTTCTAGGCAGAAAAAAGAGACAGGACAAACAGTGACTCACTACGGACACTTGGAGACTAATAGAAGAAAGAAGGATGGTGAAAGAAAAGATTATCCAGTGCACTGACGAGCAACAAAAACAGGAGCTGAATGCAAGCTACAATACACTGAACAAAAGAGTGAAGGAGAGTGCCAGGGAAGACAAAAGAAAATATTATGAAACCATGGCAAACGAAGCAGAACAAGCTGCAGGCAAAGGCGACCTCTCCACACTCTACCAAACAACTAGGCACCTTTCGGGCAAAAGTTCGACACAGATTAAGCCAATAAAGGGCGACAATGGAAAGTCAATCACCAAAGAGGTGGAACAGAGAAAGCATTGGGCTGAGCACTTCAAAAGACTTCTAAATCGTCCGCCACCTACAACGCGCCCAACAATACCAACAACGGAAGCAGAACTACCAGTGAACATTGACCCCCCGACGAAATCAGAAGTCCTGAATGCCATTAAGATGCTAAAAGCTGGGAAAGCAGCAGGACCAGATAGAATCCCAGCAGAAGCTTTGAAAATAGACCCAGAGACAACAGCGGACTTGATGACGCCACTGCTCGAGAAGGTGTAGAAAGAGGGCGAAGTACCCGAGGATTGGAAGAACGGATACTTATTCAAACTACCAAAGAAAGGAGACTTAAGTCAATGTAAAAACTGGCGTGGAATTATGCTTCTGTCCATTTCAAGCAAGATACTAAGTCGCATCATTCTGGAGAGAATCAAACAAGCCCTAGATGAAAAACTTCGACCGGAACAGGCCGGATTCAGGAGAAACAAATCATGTATTGATCAAATCGCCACTCTACGGATCATCATTGAACAAAGCTTGGAATGGCAGTCACCTCTCTATCTCAACTTCATCGACTTTCAAAAGGCCTTCGACAGCGTCGATCGAGAGGTCATTTGGCAACTACTTTGCTACTACGGGGTCCCATCGACAGTTATACATCTCATCCAACAGCTATACGACAGTGCTGCATGCCAAGTAATCCACAACGGGAAACTTACGGAATCTTTCGAAGTGAGGACGGGAGTGAGGCAAGGCTGTCTACTATCACCAATGATTTTCCTGATTGCAGTAGATTGAATAATGCGACAGACAACGGTCAATGAGGAAACGGGCATAAAATGGACTGACACAAAAAACTTGGGGGATATGGACTTCGCCGATGATATATGTCTGATTTCCCACAAACTAGAAGATATGCAAGTGAAAAGCAACAAGCTGGCAGAAGAAGCATCAAAGGTAGGACTTCAAGTGAACATAGATAAAACAGAGGTGATGAAGATTCCTGGCCAACACCAACCACAACAGACAACAATCAGCCAGCATAAATGGGAGGAATCTGAAAGAAACAACCTCCTTTACCTACCTGGGAAGCATCGTTTCAACTACAGGGCGGAACTGACGAGGATATCAAAGCGAAGATCAGGAAAGCAAGACAAGCTTTCATTACTCTTAAGTCTGTGTGGAAGTCAACAGCACTCAGCATCAAAAATAGGATCCGGATTTTCAACTCCCATGTGAAGTCAGTGCTACTATACGTATCAGAGACTTGGCGCGTCATAAAGAGCATCTCAAACAAACTTCAGACCTTCATTAACAGCTGTCTTCGCTCAATACTCAAGATCAGATGGCCGGCCAGAAAAGATCAGCAACAGGGATCTCTGGCGATCAGCGAACCAATCAGGAACCGATTGTGAAACAAATAGACAGGAGGAAATGGAGATGGATTGGCCATACGCTGAGGAAACCATCAAGTGACATCACTAGACAAGCCCTCGAGTGGAACCTGAAAGGGAAGCGGTGACTTGGAGGAGGTCATGTGAAGAGGAGATGAAAGCATGTGGGCAGACTTGGAGCGGAGTGAAAAAGTTGGCAAAAAACCGAAGGCAATGGAGGTGCGCAGCTGACGCCCTATGTTCCTCTAGGAATTAAAGGATATAATAATAATAATAACAATACTTCTTTGTATATTTTTTTTCTTTCAGTGAGCAACTGTTACATTTATGGTTCGAAATTTTGTGTTCATCGGTAAAGGTGGTCAGTAAATGGTATCATCCTTGGTCATATCTACGCAGTCCTGGATGGGTTCAAATCAAGTGTGAATTACGGTATGCTTTCTAGTGAATAATTTGAACAAATGTGTCCGTGCTTTGCCTAATATCTTTTCATACTACCGGATGCGGTTTCATTTAAGACTGAAGCTTCAGTTCATATATATTCAATCGTACAAAACTGAAAGCAATCGAGGTCGTTTGCGGTTATCACATAATACTTAAAATGGAGATGAACTACAAACAGCATGCTAAAAGATAGACGTTCACTAAGCTCAGAATATAAATTCACGTTTATGAGTGTTGTCTGACATTGTATACTTTATAATTCGTTCTATAGAGGATGATGGTTAACAACGAAATCGAGTGTTTTCTTTATTTCCTGTTTAATATTGATCAACTAGTGTGCATTCAACTTACAGAATTGAGACTTATGTATTCTCTTGATATAGTTAGTTGCTTTTTGTACCAATCAAGTCATTTTATATTTGATGCCTAGTAGAGGCAGCTTTCACCTCTCATTTAATGGCTGACATATGATGACGCTTGATTCAGATCATTTGTCCTACATCTCATTATTGTGTCTAGTTTAATTATGTAAATCTAAGATTCTTTAATTAACAATGTGAGACTGATCAGTTGTTTTTTTATTCATGGTACTATATTTCTCACAGTTCATATTTTTTAATTCCTCTACGCTCCCAATGGAACATACGATTTCAAGCTAGAACTTTGTAGTTTCTGTAGCAGTGGTGATTATCTTTACAGGTTGAGGTTGCTAGTCTCATGTCCGACCTACCAGTCTTATTACTGGCTTAGCGAGGCAATGGAGTGTGTCAGCTGGATATCGAACCCGGGAACACATGCGTGATTGGCGAGCATTCTACCTGTGTCCCACCGGCACACTAAATTCTCTTTTAATGGCAGTATGTTAATGGACGTAACAAAGAAGGTTATGCATGAGTGAGATTCTAGTTCGACCATCTCGTATTCGAGACTGACTTGATTTCAACTTGGGTGTTTATCTGACCTATAAATGAACCAAAATGTCGTTAAAATGCCTGTAAGATAGTTTATTTAGAAGGTAATAATGTATTCAGTTGTGAAAAGCTTACTAACATTCATCTAGTCAGTGAAAAGAATTGTACATTTTAACCCGTTATTATGATGTTTACTACAATGTAAACTTTGACTTGTCAAGCTATTCATTAAACTTTATCACTTACCTGTACAATGTTTTGCTTACTTGTTAAATTTCTATATTTAAATTTCAACAGTGTACTCAGTCAATTCGCTTTTCACCTATCGCCAACTTACGAACTCAACCATCTACAAAGTATTCATCACATTCAGCAAAACGGTTTTATTGGACCGAAATCGTCTCCTTCGGATAGCTTGACTCGGCGTATAAATAAGTCAGGATCGAAAATAATATCTTCAATGGGTAATCTTTCTGAACTGCACAAAGTGAAACCTTTACAACGTCTAATGACGGCTTCGTCTGTAGTTGATCCAATGAACGATCCACCTTGTCTATCGTTGTCACCAAATCTGCTGGGAAATGATGAGAATTCAAATGGAATGACAGACAAAAACATGACCACTGTTACAACAGAGGCGACTGGTGATATGCTGATCAAGTATCATTTGTTTAGTTGGGAACTGTAACAGCATTTATCACAACTGACTTTATAGTTGGCAGTTTTGCTTCGTTATCATTGTGATGAACCGGCCAGAAAAAGGCTGATTTTACTGTGATCTCTTGTTACCGTTTGTCGGTTGTTGTTGTTTTTGTTCGCCCTACTTTCCTCCATCAAACAACATCCTTGCTAATTCGTCTACAATACCGACTTTCGTTTTATTTTTTTACTTCATCATAATATCATCGCTGATGAGTCGATTGTACGTGAGTATTATCCTCCTTTTGTGTGTTTGTGCTTCGGTGTCTTTCTTTTGTTCTAACTTGTTTTTTTTTGATAATATTGTCTAGGTTAATTTGTTTGTTTTTATGCTATAAATGTATCCATTCATTGATTAAAGTACTGTCTAATTCTTCCTCTCCAAGGGTTGTATACACCCCCTTATGTTTAACAATCAACCTGTCCACCTTTTTGATTCCGTTATTTGTCGGGGCTATCTCTTTATTCTCAGTTGCAGTACATCGATCTTATTGTATTTTTTTTGTCCTACATTCAGGCGAAATTCTCATATCATATGAACAATTTTGGCCTTTGATGATGTTGATGTGATTTAGCACGTTTTGTCTGCATTTGTTACAGTGTTATACTTGTGTTATATATGTGTAGTCAGCTTAAATATGTTTGTGTTTTGGACTCTTCTTTTTGATTAACCTCATTTTATTATTTTCCTCTATGCATATAGTACTTCAATCACCATTTTTTTTCTCTGCATGATGAATCATTCCAGGTAAACGTGTAGAAGAGCATAGCTTTTTATAATTTGATCTCTGTCATAACTAATATTATAAAAGTAGATTACTTGAGCATGTGTAGCTTGGGTGTTAATCGTTTCAATCTACAACAGATTCTTAAAACTCTCAATAAATGTGATAGTTTAACGTATCTGTTCCCCTGTATAACTTCTATTTTTGTTTGTTTTGGTCTGTTTTGTCAATATGGAATTTGTTTATATTATTTCATTCTAATTTGATGAGTGTTTATCTGCCTTTTTGTTTATTCGACTGTTACCACTCCTAAGAATTATCTGTAGATTTTTTTGTTTTGTTTTGTTTTGATTGCGTGTTTTTGTTCGTGTCTTTGTTTTTGTTAATCCGTTCGTTTCCTGTTTGCTTTTTATTGTTCATGTTGTTGCAACTATGCTATACACCTATTGTAGGGGTACAGTATCTCTGTCTGTCTGTCTCTCTCTCTCTCTCCCAACATCACTTTTTATCCACTCTCCAGTTTATCGTCAGATAAACTTAGGTCTAAAATATTTTTTTGTATTGTATCGTGTAAATGTGTACACATGAATGCTGTGAGACTGTTGATGAAAAAAGAATAATTGATGAAAATAGTATTTATTTTCAAACTGATTCATATATATTGAATGGTACTCACCTTAAGTAAAGAAAGATTTAATAGTCAATGCTGATTACCGGCGTAATTCATAATCCATCAAAAAAGAAATGTATTTTTATATCACCATCCAAAATCTCTCCATTACTCAATACACTCACCATCTGTATCATTGCCAATAAGGCATTAAGTAGTTTCATGTATGATAATGAGCGTGAAAGCATATTTCGAACTCCATCTTCAATGCAAACCTTTGCTCAAAAGTACAGGGGTTCGATTTCAAGAAACTATATCAAACGAAAGAATAATCTCGTGGAGAGTAATGAAGACCTAATAGACCAACAATAAGCATCAATCAGTTGTCACCTCAGGTAAAAAAAAATGATGAAATAGTTCAATGAATATTAAGCCGTTTGTCCCACTGGGAACTCAGGGAAAGATTAATAATGATTAATTATCATTTCAAGTATATTTCATTTATACGAGCCCGCCTGGAGATCTTATTTCATAACATCACTTCAAAGTCATGCACTTGTGTATAGGTTTATGCATACAATGTGAATTGACAGTACACGTCAAAGGCTAACGTCAGCTAGCAACAAAACAAACCAAAGTATGGGAGAAATAACTGTGTGTGAGAAATGGTGAATAACCTTACGCAAACGAGACCGTTGACTAAAAATTACTTAAATGATGAATAATCATTTGGAAATAAGGGATAGGAGACAAGACAACAAAGGATTGGTGGAAATGAGTTGAAAAATGAAGTAAGAGGACCGACCACATAGAGTTTATTATACAACCACTCAGAAGAATAAAATTGACATTAAGGTCACGGTAGTAAAAGAGACTGGAGAAAACATTTCTGAATGAAAGGTAAAGAGTTTTCTTCATGGATTCCTAAAGCATCAGATGTATGAATATGTGGGTGAATTTCATCTCAACGGCTTTATTGCACTTTGTAGACGACTATGAATGAAGTCTCCCATGATGATGCGTGAGCAGAAGTAACAGTGTGTTCCAGAGTCGAGCTGTTCAGTGTCCTGAGTTCTCGTTTTGACAGCCATGCTGGTAACTGTTAATAGGCACTCCTAGATAATGTCCTGCTGGTACGGCCTATGTACGTAGCTCCACAGGATGAAGTGAATCAGTACGTGTATATTGAAGTTGCTAACAGAGAGATGTTGGCTTTGACGTTTCTGTAGACAAGAGGATATGTGGAGAAGGAAGATGAGGCGTAGAGAGATCCAGCAAACAAGGCCCTTCGAATTGCTCTGCGACTGGTGACTTCGAAGAACTATAGTACTTGTATCTTCCTTGAGTCTCTGATTTACACTTAGTTGTTTTGTGTAGTATTGGTCATTGTCTTCAGATGTTTGTCGATGAAGTAGATTGTATGTCCATTTTTCATGAGAGTGTTGCAGAAGGATTCGTTATCTCACGTATCTTCAGTGAATATGTGACCAATTCTTATCCAAAGAGAGGCTCTGAGATTTATTTTTCTCCCTATTGGGAAAAACCAGAAAGTTTTTCAGAAGTCCATTCCGTTTTCGGGTTGCAGTAGACTTCCATCTGATCAGCTTGAAACCTGGACGTTTCGAAACATAATTTTCATCCTCATTAAGCTTTCAATATGAAATGAACTGATAGTTGAGCGTTGTTAAAGATATCCAGGATTTTTACAGAACACAATTGAACGAAATACGTATTTTCGGCATATTCTCATCAAAATTTCGAATTACACAATAAAATATTAGGTATACTCATTTGAAATAGTGTGGATCAGTGTCCAGGGACTTGAATTAGTGTGTAATCATACAGGTGATTGTCACAGTAATAAACATTTTAACTAGGATAGATTCACTAAAGCGTTTATGTAATCTAGGTGATCGTGAGTGTGTAGGTAGATTGTGTTTACTAGTAGGAGTACAGGGGAAAATAACCATCATCATATAGCGATTAGATTCTTTTTTTCCTTTACGTTCCCAGTGGAACATAGGGCTTCAAGCCAGTGGCTTGAAGTTTCTGCTGCAGTGTTTAATTTTACAGGATGGGGTTGCAAGTCTCATGCCCAACCTTTCCTCTTGACCAGCATTATTTCTGGCTTAGCGAGGTAAAGGAATGCGTCGGCCGGGGATCGGACCTCGAACCATGTGCATGGTCGACGGCCGTCCTGACCGCTGTGCCACCAATGCACACAGCGATTAGATAATATAATAATAATAAATTGTGATTAGAATATGCAACTATAGCACAGTATGATATTAATTATAAAGACAGAAATACTTTCATTGATAATTATACAGATTTCATCCATGTATTGCCTGTAAACATTGAAACTTTGATTGTTGGTTGGAAGACATTGAACTCAAAGTATATCATAAAGCAATCGTCGAGTGGAGAACCCAATTCAACTTCAATTTTCTGTCTACATATTTGACCACTGAATTAAAACTGGACATTCAGCGCGTGTCTCAGTATTAGTTCTTTGACACACATTGGTGTATATATATATATATATATATATATATATATATATGCAGACATTTCGATTATTTGAGTCGACAAATTCACACAGGCAAGTCTTCATGGTCTGATGCCAGGTTTTGGTTTTAGTACTCCTAACTCTTTCTCAACGTAATCTTGTGTCAGCTAACATTTACCGTCGAGGAATGTGATGGTTCCGCATGTACGTCACATGTCCTAGTCATCTCAATTAATACAGCTTCACAATCTCTGTGTTCCTTGGGCGTTCCTATTCACTATTGCATTGTTTGGACAGATTCTAGATTAAAATAGCTTCTCAGGAGAATACTATTATTCATCTCCATAGTTAGCCTGAGTTTGATTTCTCATGGAAATGCCGAAATTTTCACGGAGTCATAACTGGCCGAGTGCCTCAGCCTTCTGATAGATAATTTTCCGTCACTTCAATCAGAGAAACAATACAGGATATGCTTATGGTGCCTGCTTTAGCTCTATATAGTAAGATTGACGTATTGTTATGTGGACATCGTACATAAGTTAATTTGGTTGTTTCTGTTTACTTAATAGCGGTTTGACTAATATGCTTGGAAACTAGATCGAGACACCGAGTCCCTATTTATGGAAGAAATAGCGAAACGAGTGTCTGAGGTAGCCTGGCACAACATACAGTTAGCTGTAGACGCAGCTGTTAATAACCTGAAACCAAAAGCTAGTAAGAGCCATTGGATCTCTACCGCTTCATCTGAAGTGATTGACGCAAGAAGACTGATTCCAGCGAGCTCCGATTATGATGAGGAGCGAAAGCTACTCAAACGAAAACTAGCAAGTCTTCACAACGACCGTGAACAGTGGTGGGAGACAAAAGCGAAAGAGATGGAAAAGTCATCAACTACTGGCAACACCAGACAACTATTTAGGCTTATCAGGGGGACAAAAGGCAAGTGATAAGTGAAACAATCTCTGAGAGAAATTGCAACATAATTAGCTCCCAGGATAGATGACTGGAACGCTGGAAAGAACACTATGAGGAGCAGTTTAATTGGCCTACAGCCACTCTCCACCTGCCGAACATCCAACACCTCCCTCAATGGGATATAGACACAGGTCCTCCGTCCCTAACTGAGGTTACTAAAGCTGTCACTA